CACAAGGCTCACACCCTTAGCAATCCAGAGAGCAGAGTTGGCATCAGCCACAGGTTTGCTGGGAAGAATCCCCACGTGGGAGAGAGCTCAAGGGCACAGTGTCTTGCCAGCAGAATGCTAATGATGGCGTTCCAAATGGCATTTCTTAAAATTGTCTTTTCGTCTGGGGATGTCCAAAGGCAGGAGCTCTGGCAGATGGACCAACGTTTCCCAAGGTGCCTGGTGATTTGGGCTGTTGGGTGAGTCAGGGGAGGAGGGTCCCTGTGCCAAGGGCAGCATGTCCATGGTCCTGCCCTCCAGCCCACTGTTCCAGGTTCGTCTCCAACAGCTGAGCCGTCAGCAGAGTTGCTGCCTCTGCTCATCATTGCCGTGGAGGAACAGGCTTGGGTTCGGGGGATTTTCACTCATTCCTGCCACCCAAGGTAGTGCAAGCTGTGACCGTGGGCAGGGTAAGGAGTGAAGGTGGAGACAAAGATGATGATGAAGATGAACGTGAAGGTGATGATGAAAGTAAAAGTGAAGTGGTGATGAAGGTAAAGGCCTGCTAAATCCCCCAAAACACCAGGTCTCTCATTTGCTTTCCCAGTTCTGTTGCTCCCCATCATTTCTGCTCTCTCCATCTGTTCTGCACTCCCATCCATGGCTCTATCCTAAGAACCAGTGTCACTTGCTCTCTCCAACTCCCTAAATCTCTCTCCTTTAGTAAGGGGTGCCATTAAAATCATCTGATCTCTGCAGCACTGGGGTGACAACACCAGTTGATCCATCCCACTGCCTCCACTGGGACCAGCACTCCTTGCATCCTGAGAGTTGCATCCAAAGGTGAGAGCAGAGCACAGAGCACTGCTGGGATGTCCGGGCAGTTTGAACTCTGGTATTTTCTAACTTCTGTTTCTGCAGCCTGGCTGCGTGAGCAACCAGCTCCCAGATCCCAGAGCAGCGTGCAGTGGCAATCAGAGCACGGCAAATCAATTCATGCCAGGCTGTACCTTGCAATGTAAATAATAAATCGGATTCAGTAGCAATTGAATGCAGCCCCGAGCCTTGAAATCAGGCTTGGGGAAAATAAGAACTTGAGGCTGTTAAGATGCAGCAGGGTGGTGTATGGTCATTAGCTGTGAGATGCTGGAAAACTCTGTTTGGATAATGGTTTTCATTTGTGCCCATTCTGGGCACTGGAACAAAAAATGCAGCACTGAGATGGTGGAAATGCCCAACCTGGGGAGAACCCTGGTGAGGATGGCTGGATCCATCCTGCTCGAGTTACAGTTCCCTAATGGAGAGCAGATGGAGCTGGATGAAATTTTTTTGGCCCCAAAAAATTACAACACATGTAAAAATAAAACCCTGTAATTAGAGGGAATTTCATCAGGTTTCAGATGGGACAGAAAAAGCCAGAGAGTAGCTTTCAGTTGCTGCAGAGTTGCAGCTCGACATGAGGCAGTCTCAGCACAGGGTGAGCTGAGCTACTGCAGGACCAGCAAAACCTCCCCACCCCATCAAGTACCCGTGAACACCCTCTTAAAATAATTTTTTTTTTTAATACAAGAAGGAATTAAAATACTGTTCTTATGTTTTTTGCCCTTGCTGGGCATTGATTAGGAACCTGGCAGATCCTGCCGTCCTGCTGTGTCCTTGCAGAGTGACATCATGTGTGTCTTCTCATTGGATTAAGTTGCAAATTCACAATTTCACTTGGGGAAACAATATAAAATAGAAAAAAGCCAGCCCTCTGTTCTGAGGGAAAGGAGGCTCTCAAATAATTACAGGCTGCCTTGAAAATAACCGTGACGTGCCAAAATCCAATTAGAAATATATCTATATAAACCTCCAAATGGAAGAGCTTCCATCATTTCAACCCCTCTCTGTGTCCCAGAGAGCAGCAAAGAGGGAGCAATGCCTTGGATGTGCTCCGCCAGTACATGAACCTCGGGAAGGTGCAGATGTCATTCTGTGAGTGACAAGAGGGTCACCTGCCCAGCCAGGGGCCAGAGGACAGCACAGGTACCTCCTGGGCTCGGTAAGCCAGAGCACCCTTCCCTGCAGCACTGAGCTTTGGTTCTTTTATTATCAGCATGAAAATAAATTCTTTTCAGGGAGAGATTTTCATAACACTAAATATTTCCATGCCTGGTTGAGATAAGCACCATCCATCAACCCGCACCAGGCAGGAGGCTTCAGCACGAAGCTGTTTTCGATTCTATCTCCCTGCAAGTGCCTCAACAAATTCATTTTGAAGTCTTTGCACAAAAAAATATCGGGGGGTAGAGGAGGGGTGGGATTTGGGAAAACCCTTCCATGATGTTTAGCTTGGGAGTGTCAGTTCCCAACCCATGGGGATGCAGTGAGGGGGGTCCCCAGTGCCCAGCTGCATTCACAGCCCCAGGCCTGTGGGTGACTGCCATGGGGGGCTTTGTGGAGGTGACATCCCAACAGGGCAGGATGTCCCAAGGCCACCGAGGCCACGTGCCAGGCCACTGACGGATGTGTGATCCTCGTTCCTCCCCCTCTCTGGGTGCTCCCTTTTGCTGCTGACGAGCGGTTTTCATTAACAAGCAGACAAGCAAAGCACCAGAGAAATTAGCCACTTTTCTCCTTGGACAAATAACTTCCGTCTGAAGGCTTTTCATCTCCTCCCTCTCATCCTCGCGGGGCGCGGCGGGAGGAAAGCTGATGTTTAATTACTTCCTTTATTCTCTGAAAAACGAACGTGCTGAATCATCCCAGCCTGGCATCCTCTCCAGAGCCCGGTGCTGGGGAGAGATGGGACACACGGGAACACTGGTGCTCTCCCTACCCAAATCCATATGCAAGTGGAGGGGAAGCCTGTTGGTCTAGAGCTCACTGGAGCCAGCTTGTCCTCTTCCCACACCATCAATGCCTTGGGAAAAAGGAGCCCTGGCTTGTGCTTTGAGTGTCCCAAGCTGTGTCTCAGTTTAGGGCTTTCCCTCCCTGCTATTCAACTCCTGTTTAACTGTGTAAAGTCCTCAACCAGACATTAAAGTCAGATGAAAACCCAAGACAGAGTTGCTGGGGCTGTTTAAAAGATGCTCCACCACGGGAGGGATTGAGTGACAGCCCAAGAGTGATGCTGGATGCTGTGAAACCAAGGACGGCTGGAGCATGGAGCAGGTGTGGGGACCACACCACCTCCCCAGCCCTCCCCACGCAACCTCAGTCTTAAGGTTTTTCTGAAAATCCTTTGGAATTTCAGATGGATGAGCAATCTGAACTCCCCCAGGCACCCAAACCCCACCACAGTATCCCCAGGCATTGGGATGCTGGGCTGGCACCAGGCTCATTTGCAGATGAGGAGGAAACAAATTCCACTCCCAGGGCACGTGAACCCTTTACTGGAGAAGTGCAATTACTATCAGAAAAATCACGGAAAGCAAAGGCTGGGAAAAGCGCAGCACTTATTTTTAATAACAGCTTGGTGTAATCTGCACACATTTCTCAAGCGACATCAGCCTTTTCCTGCCAAGGCCCCTCTTTAACCGTATTTCCCATGGAAAATTTCTGCCATGGCTCAAAATTCTGTGTGTAGACAAAGGCTGAGGAAGAAATGGGAAATTCAAAGGGATGGAGAACACGTTCTTTCTTTATCTGCCTGCAACAAGCAACATTGCCCAGCCTGCTCTCTTGAAGCAGGAGGAAGAATGCCAATCCCCCCCAGGAATTCTCAAGGGATCTTTCAGCTCTAGACTCCTTGCAGTCTCCATACAGAGTTTGGGGACTGATGTCCCCACTACTCACATGGTTTGTGACTCAATGTCCCCGCTCCCTGCCTGGCAGCACGGTTGGCTCACTGAATGTGTCAGCCCTGGCCAGCTCCCAGCACAGAGCTGAGCCAGCATCCAGCCTTGTCAGGGGCTTGAGCCTCATCCAGAGCAGCTCCTGATTGAGCATCCAAAATTTTGGAAAGCTCCTATTGATTTGGGGAGCCGAATTTAGTTTTGGCAAGTGCTTCACTCTCACACACACAGCTGCACAGCCCAGATCCAAGAGGGTTTTGTGCTGTAGCTATGTAAGGCAAATGAACAGCCACACAAAGCCTGCAGGAGGCTGTGCAAGGTCACTGCCACCTGCTGCACCTTCCCAGCCCACAGGGCATGGATCATCACACAACGTGCTTAAGCTGGTCTTAAAACAAGGGTGAGGGTGCTGCTCTGTACTGCAGTGGGTCTGTGAGAGGGGACCCTTGCAAAGGTGGAGTATCACAGCACGGGCATCTGCTTGTCCTTGTCCTGTGCAGCCAGAAGTGTTCCCCATCCTTCTCCCAGCCCGGTGCAGGATGAACACAGGGTGCACAGTCAGACCCTGCTCCCTTGGTGGCTGCAGGGGCTGGCAGTGACAGTCCCTGTCTGGGTCAGGTGTGACAGATGAATGCTGGCACCTACAAAAATACCTGTGGGGTTGTCACCCCGGGGTAGTGACAGGTGCTGGTGACACCATTCTGCTCGATGCTGGTGTGTCAGTGAGGTTTGGTGGGTACCCACTCATGCTGAGACCACCCACCAGAGCTCATGAACACCCAGGGGGTGAGCACCCTCCTTCACCTTCCCCATCTAGGGAGCTGAAGGTCGAGGAGAGGAGAAACACTTGGGGTGGAGTGAACAACCAGGTGTTTTCCACTCTGTGCCCACTGCAAACATGACCAAAAACCTGTCCATGGTGCCCACTGCATTTTGGTGTCCCCGAGGACCTGTTCCCCCAGCTGGACAGAGACAGCGGGGATGATGTCCCGAGCAGGGATAGCGGGATGATGCTCGCAGCCCCGGAGGAACCGGGGGATGCTCGGGGATCCTCGGGGCGGGCGGCAGCGCGGGGCCGGCGGCGGGCGGAGCCCCCGGGGGTGGCGGATCCGGCACCGCCCCCGGCGCGGACACCGGGGCGGGGCGGGCGGGAGCGCCCGGTGCCGGCGGGAGCGCCCGGTGCCGGCGGCGGCGCGGGGGGCGCGGGGCTCCGTCCCCGCCCGAGCGCGGCGCCGCTGCCGGAGGATGAGCTGCGGCCGGCCCAAGGACATGGAAGGTACCGGGCGCGGGCGGGGGGGCTCAGGTGCGCGGCGGGACGCGCTTCCCCCAGCCGCGAACGCGGCGGGCACGGACCTGGCGATCCTCTCCGTCTGAGGGGCTGCCCTCCATCTCTCCCCGATGCTGTCCCCTCCATCCTGGGGGTCTGCCCGTCCTCCATCCCCCGGTGCTGCCCCCTCCATGCTGGGGGTCTGTTCTTCATCGCTCCCCCGGTGCTGCCCCCTCCATTCTAGGGGTCTGCCTGCCCTCGATCCCCAGAGCTGTCCTCTCCATCCCGGGAGTCACTCCCTCCACATTCCCCTTTACTCCCCCATTCCGGGGGGAGTCTGTCCCCGTGCCCTACCCTTGGTATTGTGGTGTACCAATGAAATGAGCTGGAAAATCTGGCCGGAGCAAAGGGATGCAGGTGTGAGGACAGGGCAGGCAGGCCTGGGGGTGCTGGAGCAGTGCAGGACCCCTGGGAAGAGCATGCCGAGGTGGAAGGGGCTCACTGCAGGCAGGAGAGTCGGTGCCTGTGGGCTCCCACACCTGCCTCCTGCCAGGAGAGCCTCCCCAGAGCCACCTGAAGTCCTGTCTGCTGCCCCCACCCCACACTCTCACACTGTCCAACCCTACAGAAGTCCTCTGTCCTGGGGTGCTCAGGGACCCTTGTGAGTCTCAGGATCATAGATATCCCAAAGGCATTCACATTCCCCTCAAACACTGTGCCCACTCCCTCAGTGGCACCCATTGTGCTGCACAAGGAGGACAGAAAGGACATCTGCCTTTTGTTCCTTTCCTCCTCCGTCCTCGGGAGGCACCAGCAGTGGGCAGCCACCAGCCTGAGCTCTGTCCCTGTGCGGGGCTCCCATCTCATCTCTGCAAGCAGAGAATTCAGAGGGAAGCGCTGGGGTGATGCTCATCACACCCGGGGCCTGAGCCAAGTACACTCCAGGGGGATCCGGAGAGGCTGGAGGGGGTGTCAGTGCTCTTTGAGTCTGGTTTCCTCAGGTCTTAGGGAATAGCTCAGGGCAGGACCATCCTATAGGCACAGCTTCAAATATGGCATGTGTTGGGGGAACCCAGAGAGCATCACTGGAATGATCATTCCTGGAGGCTCCACCAGCACAAGCAACAGCTCTGTCCTGCACCCGGATGAAGCCACATGGAAGGGACAGAGGGGACCAGGGCAATGGCAATACCAGCTGAGCTCATGGCTCATGCAGATGCCACTAAAAGCAGGATGAGTTCTTCACAAAGCCGCTCCCTGAATTGAGCAGATTTCCCATCCTAGGAGTCCTTGGAGACTTCTGGTCCCATCCACCCTTCACCTGCCTGCAGGAACACAAGAGAGAAGACTAGGTCCCCAAATCCACCTCCAATTATTAGTAAATCCCTCGTTGTATTTGGTGCTAAATGTCTCTTTCCCTCCCAAATGCGGTGTGATGACCCACCCTTAAGGGTCGTCACACACTGGCAGCCAGGCAAACCAACGAAGTAATTTCATTCCCTGTGAAGCTTCTTTCAAGCTTCTCCATTAATCCCGGGAAGCCTGTCTGACCTCGGGAAGCCTGACTGCCCCCACTGCAGCTGCCTGCAGACATGGTCCCATCTGGAGGGCAGGTCTGTGGGACAACCACACGCACGATGGCATCAAAGACACGGGGGTGTTCCTGAGGCCGCGCTGAGAAGTAGTGGCAGAGGACAGAGCAAGTCGGGCAGTCTTTGCCTGTCCAGGCATTTGGCTCTCCTCGCTGTACCCCTTCCTGCTCCTCCTGCAGCTTGGCTGCCTGCCACCGTGTCCCTCGGGCAGGTCCTGGTCACCTGCGAGCAGGAGGCATCCGCGGGAAGTCCCCTGGCAGCCGGTTTGCTGGTAGGGATTAGCCCGGGCCAACTCGGCACCCACATGGAAATGCTTTTGCCGGGGAATGCTGCCACATCCTGCCCCGAGGTGCCCAGCCCCGGCAGGTTTCCCGTCCCTCTCCCCACCAGCAGCTGCTGCTGCTCTGAGCCTCTCCGGCGCTCACGTTTCACCAGCCATAAAAGTGTCTGGAGAGGGAATGGGAGCGGGAGCAGCGCTGTGCCTGGAGAGGGGAGGGAGCGGCTTCTGTCCCTGCCACTGCTGCAGACCCTGTCCCACCTCTGCTGGTCTCCCTGCGGTGACCCGGACCTGGCTTCCCCCTCCTGCCTGGCTAGACAGATGCCCAAAATGGATCAAAGAGCCATGGAAACAAGCCGGCAGCGATTCCCCAGCGGCAAGCAGGCAGTGGGGTGTCACTCACAGGGGGCAGGCAGACGGGGCGCAGGGACCCTAGACCAGCCGGCAGGGTCCACTTGGAGCAGTGGGGTCACAGTGCCTATTTGGGGACCTGAGCTGAGCTCTCCGCTCCTCACTCTAGCTCGGGCTCAGCCAGCCTGAAGATTCCTCCATTCCCGTTTCAGGATTCAGCACAGCCTCTGCTCTGTGGGAACCCCACTTCTGCCCGGACCCCAACACCACCATAGCCATGAGAGCTTTGGCCGGGAGCAGGTGCATCCCACACTGCGCCCTGCGGCCCCTTCCTGCTGAGGTTGTTCATCACCACGCTCCTTCTTCACTTTTCCTCCTGTACCCGGCTGCCCTAAGCCGCCGGTGACCCCGGTGCTGCCACACTCGTGCCATGGCTCCGCTTGGCCCCAGGGCACTTTGATGCCCAGTGGGCCCGGTGTCCCCTGCAGCACCCCCCAGGCTTCCTGTCCGTCCCAGTGCCAGCTGGCCCTGCCGCGGGATTAGGCGGGAGCACGAGAGGAAAGCACCGAGCATCTCTCCGGATCAAACGCCCACGGGGCAGCGGGGAGGGGGTGCAATTCACCCCCCTCTCCATGTGAGACCGGCTCGGGGCCGCTCGGAGCTGGGATGAGCGTGCAGCCGGTGCTCAGAGGCAGTGGGAGGGAGGCGTTCGGGGGAATCAGTCAGGTGTGGACGAGGTATGAGGGGAGGCAGGGATGGAGCCGCACTCGTGACAGCGGTGCCGAGCGCTCACGCGCATCCCTCCTCCCGCCGAGATGCAGCAGGGCAGGCCATCCCTCTGCTGCGTCTCCACCATCCGCAGCTCGCAGGGACCACCCGAGCCAGGTGAGGGGTCTTCAGGGCATGGCCGGGGGGCTGTGGGGCCAGCGGGCCTGGGGGTAGATGCTGCATGTGCATTCCTGACCGGAGGGCGCAGCCTCCGGCTTAGCAGACAGGGGCGGAGGGGATGGAAGGCGTCTGGTTGCTCCTGGGGATGCTGTGGCTACTCCCTGTGCAGGGCATGGAAAGGAGAGGAGAGCCCGGGGTGGATATCACCCCTATGTCCCTGCGTGGAGCCAGCCCAGGGCTGTCCTGTCACGGGGTTCCTCTGTCCCCATCCTTTCCTTGCTCCAAAATGCTTCCACATGCCCTGCTCAGCACCCTCCCTACCATCCCATGTCGAGTGCTGCCAGGTCATTGGAAAGTTGGGACCCAAGGGCTGGGCTGGGGAAACTGAGACTGTGGAGGAGCTGCTGAAGCCAGGGCCTCTGGATTTCAGGGCAGCCACTGATGGGGATCCAAGTCCCTGGAGCTCCTGGACCTGCCTTTCTTCCCGGCTCTTTTTTCCCCTTCAACTTCCACCTGTGTTTCCCATCTGCTCCCGCTCCTGGTGTTGCCTCCAGCAGTGTTTGCTGTAGGAGCAGAGATGCCCACATCCTGCTGCTGGAGGCAGACACTCCATAGCTCCCTATGGATATGAGACCTGCTGATGGCCAGAGCTGCCTTCCCTCTAGTCCCTGTAGCAAGTCCTGGGGAAGCCCTGGCACAGCTGAAGGACACAACTCTGGCACCAGCCCCTCCAGACCTGCCAGGTTTATATCTGCCACAGCACCCAGTGGAATGGGCAGTTTCCATCTCGGAGGTAGCACAGCACAGCTACAGTGCTCAGGGTGTCAGGGATAGGACAGTGGCATCTCAGACATCCTTGGCTGGAGTGAGCACAGCCCACTCTGGTCCTCACCTGACAGACTCAGGGTGTCTGAGACTGTTGGAAGTCATCAGAGACATCCCCTGTCATCAGGACAGGTGCAGAGACCACCCCTACCAGTCCTTCCTCTGCTTCCCACTGAGCCTCTCCGTGGATCTCCCTCCACCTTGTTTTCTCTAAAATCACTTCCCTAGTCATCAGACAGGTCTCCTGCCTCATGGCAACGCTTCCTACTGGGTGTTTAAGAAACAATACTGTGTGATGTGGTTTGGGTATCCTGGGACAACCCTTTACTGCTCTATTTTGACTTTTTTTGCTTAGTTGTTCTCCTATTGCATAAAGGTGTACTTGAGTGGTCTCTCAAACCTCTTCCCTCTTAAAACCCACTAATTAGGAAAATTAGCTGCATCAGGATTTCTCCAGGCCTCCTGCTCTCCCAGGGTGGTTTGTGCTGGAAGTGGGTCTCCTTTGGGTGCTGCTCTGCTCTCAGAGGTGGTTCATGACTTGCCTGGCTCCCCGTGGTGGGAGCAGGTGAGCTGGGGGATGCTCTGGTCTTTGCTTCTGCGGATCAGAGCTGCTTATGTCAAGCTGTCTGGCTTTTATCCGGAGCAGACAGAGCGTGAGCCCCTAATACCCACTCACCCTCCTCCTATGGCAGCTGGGTCCCTTCAGCCCCCCTCAAAGAAAAGCTGTGCAACCTCGTTGCAACCCCAACACCCCCAGCTTGTTAAAACACAAGGAATTGGACTTCAATGACCTTTGTGGGTCCCTTCCAACTCAGGATATCCTATGATTCTATAAATAAGGCACAAAAAGCACTCGTTGTGGGTAGATGTCTCTTCATGGTCATTGCTGAAGGGCTGGTGTGTGTTTGGCCATCACTGGAGTGCACAGTAGCTGTCCCCAGGCACCTATGGTCTGTGCTGAAGGACCAGCCTGCATTCCCTTCTCCACCAGGCTGCCCAGGGAGGGTTTCTCTGCTCCCCTTCCCTCGGTGGTGGCGGTTTGCTGTCAGCCTGGACCACGGGAAGCAGCTTCCCTGGGCCTCCTCCCGGTTCCTGTCCCGGCAGACTGGCAGTGACAAGCAGGAGGTTCTCACCACGTGTCGGGGATCAGCTGCAGGTCCCACGTCTGCTCGGCTGGCGGGTGTCAAAACAAACGTCGCTCGTGAGGGGTTTGTGTGGGCAAACATCTTGTCGGGTGCCTGCTGGATCCCAGCGCCAGCTGGCGGTTCCTGGGCTGGTGGATTTTCTTCTTGGCAATGGGAAAAGAAGGCAGGAACAGGGAGCTTTTGGAGAGAGGGGCACACAACTGAGTTCAGTTCTGTGGGGTAAAAAAGGCACTTTCGGGTGCCCAGGCATGGGGTGGACGGGCACCGTGGCCGTCTCTCACTCCCCTTCCCTCTGCAGCCGCCGCTGCCGCCTCTGCTCACTTCAGCTTCTGCCGCAGCCTCCTGGAGCACACGGTGTCGGCCGAAAACCTCAGCTACCGCCTGCAGCGCAACCCGGGCAGCAGCCTCACCTGGCACGACGGCCGCAGCCAGCGCCCCGACAGCGGCCACACCGTCAAACTCCTGCGGCAGCCGGGCACCGAGGGCTCCCAGGTACCCCACACCCCACCCGGGCATGCCAAGGGCAGCACGGCTCCTCGTGTCTGCCAGGAGCATCTCCTCTTTCCCTGCAGGATCAGACCTTCAGCTCTTGTTTTGTTGAAAGTCCTCATGATTATTGGGCATTATTTATAGTAATATATATATATATATATATATATACACACACATAAATAATGTGTTTTCATCAGGCCTCAGGGTGTGCTGGGGTGAGCTCTCTGTGTCACCCCACCTCTGTGCATCACCTGTCCTGGGACTTAATACCATTTTGCATTAAGTATGCCAGGACCAAATTCCTTATAAAGCCTTAAAATCGCTGAGCACTTGTGTATGTCTCTTACCCAGGTTTGGACCACTGTCTTCCTAAAATTTGAAACTTTATTGTACTATGGAGGCTGTGAACCAAAGATTTCCACCTGTTCACTGCTGAACAGACACAGGAAGGAATATCATCCCTGCAGGTGGCTCCTTGTGCTTCCTAGCCCCTCCTTAACACCTTGGGAGTTGGGTTCAGAGGTGGCACATCCAGACAGTGAATGCTGGAAAGAGGACAGGGCAAATCCAACTGCCTGGCTTCTGGCTGCCAACATGAAGATGCTTTTGTATCATAGGGCCTGTCTGGTTTGGCTTCAGAAGGGAGTAGGAATCCCACGGGGATGGGTATGGTCGTGATACTCTCAGGAGCAGCAGCTCAAGGGGAGACAATGTTCCATGTGCTGGTGGCACTGTCCCATCACCTCCAGATGGCTCCTGCATGGGGACACACCAGCCACCCTCCATCTGCCAGCTGTGGCTTATCGTGGTTCTCCCTTCTCCACCTCTATGTGCTGCCCAGAAGGATTTAGTGAAAGGTTCTTAATTTGCCATACGCAAAGAAAAATGCCAGAGCTAAGGGAGGTGATGCAAGTTGCTCCTTTCAGTGCCCAGGGATGGCCCCCACCCCCCGGTTTCCCCAGCCACCTCCTGCTTTCCTGCCAGAGCAGCCTCCCAGCCTTCCTGCCTGCTCTCCTCACCGGCGCTCGATATTCACGGCTGAGAGTTTATCAGAGAGACAGCGCGGCTCAGCCGGCTGGAAAACAAACCCATGATCGCTTCCACCTTCCCTGCCCCTCTGGCGAGCGCAGGGCCTCACTTGGGGACCCTCCGTGGGGAATGGGGAATGCACGCCGAGCAGGCAGCGCAGGGTTTAGGGATGCTGGGATGGTCCCCGGTGCAGGGCTGTGTCTGATGAGTGATGTGCGTGCAGCCGTGTGCGTGCCCAGGGAAATTGCCAGTTGTTTGTCACCTCTTCCCCCGTGCCTCGGAGGGTAGTTGGATAATAGCTGTGGGAAGCTCGCGGTAAGCTCCCGGGAAGCTGGTTGTTATTCCCCCCAGCCCCTCCGCTTCTCATCATCACTCGTTAGTGAATCCAGAGCAAATCGCCGCCTCCTCCTCCTCCCCACGGCACACTCTCCGGCGCGCTCAGCCGAGTGTGAAGGAGCCGCAGCCGGCGAGGGCTGGGGCTGCTCCCGCAGGCAGCGACTCCCGGGATGCGTCTGGTGGAACCGGGCAGCTGCCAGGGTCTCCCCCAAAGGTGAGGGTTTCTTTCGGAAACTGCATCCTGTGCATTGACTATCGGATTTTCCTTCTGCTTTGGAGACAGACTCCTTACTTATTAATGTACAGCCTCCCAACTTCGCCTTCTTCCCTCTTGCATTAATGTTCCCAACGAGCTGTGCTTGAGGAACAGTTCATTTCCAAGCTCAAACGCTGTCCTGGGCACAGGCAGCAGCCCTGGCAGGCTGGCCAGGCTCCATGGCAATGCCCAGCATGGGGCAGGGAGCACATCCCAGCTCAGCTGCCTTCCACTGCCTCCTCTGGAGCTTCTCTCAGGAATGTGTCATTAGTTTCAGTAACTGCGGGATGTCTGGAGTCCCTCTTACACTAATTATCCCTGCTCCTCTATTAGACATGCTTAATTAGCCAGCGTTCACACGCAGAGGTCGATGTTGGCACACCGTGAGCCACACGCTGTCGACCTTTCCCGTGCCGGTGTGTCGTTCCTGCTCTGTCCCTGCCGTGTCCGGGCCATGGGTGAGCCCTGGCAGTCCAGTCCCCGTGTGTTGTGGGAAGCAGGGATGTCGTTTCCACCCCATTTTGCGGGTGATCCAGCCCAGGACAGCCCTAGCAGCTTGAGCACAAGTGGATGCTTTGGAGCAGCGATGTTTGCTGATGTTGCTCAAGGGTGAAGTCTCAGCATCACCAGCAGTGGAGAGCTCACCAATCTCCCCTGGATGCTAAAAGCAGGGAAAGGGAGATTCCTGCATCCTTCAGCCCCAATTCCCAGCCAGCCTGCAGGATTCCCTAGGAGAAGCAGGCTTGCTCCCCTGGGCAGTCACAGCTCAAGATGTGTGATTTGCTGTGTACGAGATAAGTCCAGGCTGCAACAACCGTATGAGGACAGAATAGCTGTGATGGAGGAGAGAAAATGGAGCTGCCAAGCAGCTCGGGGTGAGACTGGGTGGCACAGAGTGATACTGGCCACTGCAGCAGGCTGCTGGAGGGAGGGAAGGTGGGATGGAGGGATACTGTCAGATAAACCCTGTGGGCATAACTTGCTACTGTGCGTGGCATATCTCAGCAGGTGGTGGAGGGTGGCCAGGGCACACTGGGGTGCTGGGAACTGTGACCCTGCCTTATCCTGGGTGTCTCTGAGCACAGCAGCACCCCAGGAACAGGCTGTAGGATTCAGAGGTGGCCTGAGACACCTGCAAGGCTGCAGGACCTTGTAGTGACCAGTCAGCTCAGCACTGAAGGGGGTTGAGAAGGAGAGAAAGGGAGAGTCCTTCCCACTCCAGGGCACCAGCTGGCTGCTGGCTTCTTTCCTGGGGACTTCTGGTGAGGGTGAGTTTACACAGTACCAACATCTGGTAGGGATGGCTTTGCACCAGTTCCTACTGTGCTCCAGGATCCCACTAGCTTCATCCCCACTGAGAGCTTCCAGCAAATGCCCATCTCTGCCTGGTGAGGTAGGGACCCTGAGGACTCCCCAGTACATCTCCTGAGCCTCTGCAATGCTCTGATGGACTGGGAGATACATAGGGGAGGGGAGCTGGGTCTCTTGTCTGCAGCAGGAGGGCTGGGAAGTTTAAAGTGTTGGGTTTATATGTGGCAGGACAATCAGCTTGACCTCCCATCCCCACTCTCCCTGCTTCCCTTACTGGTTCCTTTGATTTCAGGATGAGCCCAGAGATGCCAACATCCCCACAATCCTATGCAGCCAACCAGCATCTCCCCCATCCCCATGGACTGATCTCCATTTCCCTCCTCGCAGGGTTGAATCCCACTAACACTCTCCCCTCCCACTCCCCTCAGGTCCGTGGCTGTGACCATTATGGCATCTACCACACCAGTCCCACGCTGGGCAGCCTGGTCAAGCCAGTGGTGCTGTGGACCCAGCAGGATGTGTGCAAATGGCTGAAGAAGCACTGCCCACACAACTATCTCATCTATGTCGAGGCGTTCTCCCACCACGCCATCACAGGTACAGTGTGTGCTCTGGACTATTCCCATTAGCACGTGCTCCTGGGAAAGGCTGTTTGGACACTGGTGGTTCAGAAGATATCCCCCATTTCTGTCCCCTCTCCCCATGAGATGCAGCCAGAGTGAGAGCAGGGGACACAGCGACACTGACCCAGGCTGGGCAGGAGGCATCTGCCACCAGGATGAGCTCCAGGACAGGCTGGAGGTTCTTTAAAATTATTACATTGGTTTGTAAGACATGGAAGAGATCTCATCACCTAGCTTAATAAAATAATATTTTTAAAGTTCTTTAAATACTGAAAAATTTTGCAAAAGAGAAAAATGTCTGCCCAGCTGGAGTCCAAGTTTCCAAGTTTCAAAGTCCAGGTACAAATCCAATTCCCAATCAAGTCCTTCAAGGAGACTCACCTCTAGGATCTGCTCTGTCCCCTTTGCTCCCTGGGCTCAGTGGCTTTGACCTCTGTGTAAAAGCATCATTTCAGTCCAACTTTAATATGTGCAAGGCCAGACTGTGCTCTGCCAGGGCCAGGGGATGGTGGCAGGGAAGTGAGGGCAGGAGCTGCCTGGGGGGGGATGCAAATCCTAATGCAAGAGCTCAGCCAGCCCTTGCTCAGGCAACAAAGGCAGCATTAGTGAGTGTACGCTGGGAAGCAAGGACAAAAACTGGATTACAATCCCTCCTCTAATAGCCCCAGACTGGAGGGAAGTGGCTCTGTGGGGACCAGAGCGCTAATGGGCTGTGATGGGCATCCCCATTCACCCAAAACATCTCCTCATGTGGGAGGTGGAGCGGAGAAATGGAACGCTACTGCCTGGGGGGATGGCTTGCATGATTGCAGTCCTGGTACCTGTCACAGGCTGGGGACATGAGCTGACACCCGGCGCTCTCTGAAAGTGAGGTCACAAACCAGAATGGTTTGGGTTGGAAAGGACCTTAAAGTTCATCTCGTTCCACCCCCTTGCCATGGGCAGGGACACCTTCTGCTAGACCAGGTTTCTCTAAGCCTTGTCCAACCTGGTCTAGAATACTTCCAGAGATGGGGCAGCTTCTCTGGGTAACCTGTGCCAGGGCCTCACCACCCTCACAGAGATGAATTTCTTCCCAATATCCGGTTTAACCCCATCCTCTGCCAGTCATTCCCCCTCATCCTGTCGCTCCACGCGCTACTCCAGGCAGTGAGAGCGCACTCCCTCCTCATTCCTCCATGCTGATGGGCTCCCCTTTGTGCTGCCCTTTCCTGGATCATCCCCCCACTCCGTGGGGCTGGTCACGCACTGAGCAGTTCTGTGTTGGCAGGGCGAGCGCTGCTGCGGCTGAACGGGGAGAAGCTGCAGCGCATGGGGATCGCGCTGGAGACGCAGCGCCAGGAGGTGCTGCAGCAGGTCCTGCAGCTCCAGGTGCGCGAGGAGGTTCGGAACCTGCAGCTGCTCAGCCAAGGTAGGGCCAGCGGGGCAGGGGGAGGATCCAGACCTGGGCTGTGGCGCATACGGATGGGTTGTGGGGAGCACAGGGAGCACAGGGGTGAGTTGTGATGCACAAGCTCAAAATCTGTCAGTGGCCTTTTGCACAAAAGGGGAGAGATTCTCTGGGGTTGGCAGTGGGTGAGCTGCGAGGTGCCACCCTGCAGGCTGTTTATTCCTTCCTCTCCCACCTTGTTCCAGCTTCTTTTGGAAATGTCTCCTAGCTGATCCGTCTGTTTGGCAGATTGCACCAACACTGTGAACCGAGCTCCGCTGGGATGGGCTGTGCAGCGCCGATATGAGACCTGAGCCACACGCTTGGAATAAGAAGAGACAGCTTCCCAGACACTCCAGGGCTCCTCTCCTGCTTCTTCCTTCTCTTTCTTTTAAAGGAATGCATTCCTGTGCAGGGATGGAAGGTTTCTTCCAGCAGACATGGCTCTTGGCTGGAGGAAAATCAGCAAACCAGCTGCTGGGACAGATGATGAACTTCCATCCACCTGAGCCTGACGGTTCACAGGGAAAGAGATGGAAAAAAGGAGATGGCAAAAGGCAGGGCTCAGCACTGTGGAGAAAGGGACAGTGGTTTCAGGGACAGCTTGGAGCTATGTCCAGGACACTGAAGCATTATGCACTTGGGCAATATCCCAGCACCCGGCAACTCGTGTCCATGCCTTGGAGCTTATTTAGGGAGCTTTGGTTTCCTCATCAGACTGGGCTGTCTTCCAGCATCCGGGGAGGTGACGTTATCAGTAGAAAATAAGATGATACAACCAGCCAAAAAATTCAAAGCGGGGCCAAGACCCCAGCACCCAGCTCCACTTGGTGAGTTAAAAAGGGAGCTGAGTCATCAGAGCTGGAAAGTCTGGGAGTAAAAGCAGGGTGGATGCACCGGGAGGGTGCCATGGCCTGGAGGAAGCTGTGCCAGGAGCTCATCCTTTATCCACAGACGTACAGGGGAGCCCATGCAGGGGCTGGGGGAACAGGCAGGGATGCTGCCAGGTGCTGATGGGTGCTGCCCAGGGTGAGGCTGGGGGATCACTGAGTGCCAGGTCCTCCCCAGCCCCCATGCCTGGTCCTGCTCTGCTCCATGCTCCCACCAGCTCTGCAGAGCTCTGCTCATCCAGGCATTGGCAGGTTCTTGTCCTGACCTCCTGCCCAAGGGCTGGCAATGGTGCCACCAAAGCCAGGCGCCTTCCTGATGACCTTCACCATCATTAAGGTGAAAGTGTTTGCTGTAACACCCCCACCTCCCAAACTCTCCTCTACAGAACTACAGACTGTCCTTGTGGGCAGATAAGGAAAATCCATGTGTAAATCAGGATTTTTGGCCATGATGGATGCTGTCACCTCCCCACATTCCACCTCAAGTGATGAGGGTAGGGCTGTGGGTCATGGGGGTCCAAAAACAGCAGCACCCCAAAACCCCTGGGGCATTGGGATGTGGAGGCAGGTCACGGTGCCCCCTGCCTGGGCACCCTCCTGCCTGCTTCTCTCCTGGTAATAAATGAGAGACTGTTATTTTAACTCACTGCTCTTCTGGCTCTTCCCACACCTGAACCTGCCCTGTGAGTTTGGTCCCTCCAGTCCTTCCTGGGGATGCTCAGGAGATGTCTACAGCCGTAAATCCCTCCATGTTAGGCTGAACATCTTCCCTCTCTGCCTGTGGGTCAGGGGTCTGTGACCCTCAGCTCCGTCTGCAGGGAAGCAGATCCAAGGTTTTGCTGTGTGTAGCCCCTGGTGCCCCGAGACACAGAAATTAGAATTTCCTGCTGTTTCCATACTGACCTTTTCAAATATGCAGCAAAATTTGCTCTTCTCACCTCACCAGAGACACACGAGCAACAGATCTGGGAGAATTTATTGGGTTTTAAGAAAAGGAAAAAGAAGCCAAAAAGGAAAAAGAAGGAGAAAGCCCATCTTCCCCACGGTGGGGTTTGTTTCTGTCCTGGTGGGGAGCCGGGGGGACAGTGGGAGCAGTGGGGAGGCACAGGGAGCTGCGGAGTGACCAGGGGCCAGAAGCCAAACAGCAGATCACGGCTGCAGGTGTCTGCACATCGTTAGAGGGAGACGCTGAGCTTCTCTCCAGAGCTTGGGAGCTGCACAGGAAGAAATGTCCTCTCCAGGGTCCAGCTGGGCTCATGCAGTAAATTGCTGGAGATTTGGCTTGGAATGCAGCTGGGGTGCACAGAGCAGTTCTGGGCTGCCCCAGACTCTCTGGAAAAGGCAGGGTTCCCCCCAGATCCTACCCCAAAGCCCAACTGCCCCTTGCTGTGCTCCTGAGGATGCTCTGGCTCTCTCCAGCTCCTCAGCATGGAAGAAAGGAGGCACAGATAAAAGCAGAAACCCGACCAATTGCACTCAGCCAGAGCCCCAAGCATGGCCCCTGTTTGTGTATCTTTCTGAGACACACCAACACAAGATGAGGTGGAGGAGCAGGGTGAAAAAATATTCCCAGGGCTGGTAGGAGGATGCCGTCCTGCCCCCAGTCCCCTGGTCTGTGTCTTTGACCTGATGAGGATGGTGATGGTGAGAACAGAGCATCTTTCCAGGCTGGTTCTGAACTACAGCTGGTGTCTGGTGCCACCTAATGCCCATGGCTGGTCCAAGGGGCACCCATGACTCTGCCCAGGGCAGCAGGGAGGCATCCAGAGGAGCCCTGGCAGGATTTTGACATCACGGGGCATAGAGTGAATTGAAACTGCATGGTGTGTTTGGGTGTGCTGGGGTGTGTTTGGGTGTGTCTGAGTGTGCTGAGGTGTGTCTGGGTCTGCTGGGCTGTGCTGGAGTGTGTCTGGGTGTGTCTGACGGCACCGGGGTGTGTCTGGGTGTGTCTGACGGCACCGGGGTGTGTCTGAGTGTGTTTGGGTGGGTGTGGGTGTGCTAAAGCGTGTGTGGGTGTACTGGAGTGTGTTGGGGAGTGTCTGGGTGTGTCTGGCCATGCCAGTGTGTGTCTGGGTGTGTCTGGGTGTGCTGGGGTGTGTTTGAGTGTTCTAGAATGACTTTGGGTGTTCTGGGGTGTCTCTGGTTGTGTTTGGGTGTGCTGGAGTGTGTTTGGCTGTGTCTGGGAGTGTTGGGGTGTGTTTGGGTGTGTCTGAGTGTGATGGGATGCGTGTGGGTGTGTTTGGGTGTGTCTCGGTGTGTCTGGGTGTGCTGGGGTGTGCTTAGGTGTTTTTGGGTGTGCCTGGATGTGTCTCTGGTTGTTCTTGGGTGTATTTAGGTGTGCTGGAGTCTGCTTGGGTGTGCTTAGGTGTGTTTGGGTGTGTCTGGGTGTGTTTCTGTGTGTTGAGGTGTATTTGAGTGTGTTGGGGTTTGGTGGGATGTGTTTGTATGTTGGATCCAGGCAACGACATTCCTCATCATGGCCTTGGGGTGGTGAGTGTTGCACCAGGACCCTGGGAACGGGAGGCTGACACTGCTCGGGAACCTCTTGGACTGAGGCACAGCTTGGTCACTCCTCATCTTTTGCCGAGCAAGAAAAACACCTTCTACTTGTCCAGCACTTATCTGCCAGTGATATTCCAGGCACTGCCCCAAAACAAACAGCGCCGACAATGAAACACAGATGAATCAATTCATGCAATATTAAAACCAGACCACAATTAAACAGGAAACTCCAGCTAGCATTATTCAGTCCCCTGCAGCAGTCAGGGGGATGCAGGCAGCAGCACCGGGGCACAAGGGCAGGTGATGGCCACACAACTCCCGTCTCTCATAAAAGTTTTGCCACTTTATTTGGTGGAAAGTTTTTGAATAAGAGGGCCAATGTGTCACTGGCACTAGGAGTTATGTTCAGCATCTACTTAGAAAGGAACAATCCAGCAATCCCTTCCCAGTGACAGAGGCGGTTTGCAGATTCCAGCAAGGTTTTCAAGCAGAAAATAAAAAAGCCAGCAGAGACGCCCATAGAAAATGCATGCAAATTTGTCTGAGTAATTACTGAGCCTGGCTTGATGATGTAAACACCTCCAGCTCTGAAGCACTGCTGATTGTGGCTCTGATGCAGGGAATGCTCCCCATTTCTCTGACCCTGAAATTCGCTCCGGATGCTGAAGGCAGCCTGTGCTGTCCCTGGCTGAGTGGGGTGGGGGGACACGGTGTGCTGGGTACAGAGACGGCAGTGCTTGCCACTGGCTCTGCTGAGCTGGAGCCGGTTTAAATTGGAATGCTGTCTCCAGTGGCTTGCACGCCCAAGCTAATTAGGACCCTGTCAGCCCATCAGGTGCACAGGGAGGATTACAAACCACCCCAAGTCATTGGATGGGAAGCTTGACATGAGCAGCATGTGTTGGCATCTCCAGCAGCACAGCAGCAGGGAGGGGGTTTGTCCCCCTCTGCTCTGCTCAGGAGGGACCCCACCTGCAGCGCTACCTCGAGTTCTGGGGATCCCAACATCAGAAAGCTGTGGAGCTACTGGAGTGAGTTCAGAGTACAAACCCAAAGATGCTCCAAGGGCTGGAGCACCGCTGCAATGAAGATAGGCTGAGAAATCTGGAGTTGGTAAACCTGGAAAAGACAAGGTCTGGTGAGATCTTAGAGTCACTTTCAGTGCCTAAAGGAGCTGAGTGACTTTAAACAAGAGCATGAAATGACAGGACAAGGGATAATGGCTTTAAACCAGCAGAAGACTGGGTTAGGTTGGATTTTAGGAAGAAATTCTTCCCTGTGAGAGTGGTGAGGCACTGGCACAGGCTGACCAGAGTAGCTGTGGCTGTCTCATCCCTGGAAGGGTGCAGCAGCCTGGAAGGGCTGCCTGGGTGCTGTTCCAAGTTAGAGTATCCCAGGGAAGAGTGGGGTGCCTGCATGTGGCAGGGGCACAGTGAAACAGCTGCCCCTGGGATGCTCCAACAGCCACATCCCAGCTCTGGCACGCCTCCCTCTGCCTCCTCCCATAGCCCTGGTCCCCACCCCACTGCCTGGTGCTGGAGGACAAGACAGGGCTTTGGGACACACACACAGAGTCTCACAGCAATGGCAGCAGAAGTCTTCTGCTCCAGTATGTTCTTGCTGCACATCCAGGACTAATCAATCTTGATTTATAGCTAATGAACTTGAAAGCAGTGTTGGGATGGATCAGGTGCCACTCAGGGTGAGATGGATAATATAATTAAGATTTCCTCAAAGGTCCCGTTTTTCTTACCTTGTTAATTAAGCTGATGTGGGGCCCTCCATGCAGAATACGTAATGAGAGGCTGCCAAACAGAGCTGGCTGTTAATGGGAGGTGATGCAGGGGGAAATGCTGGCCTTGACCGCAGGGCTGTAGATATTTGGGCAGCTCTTTGGCAGCTTGGTTCCCCAGAGCAGCCAAGAGCTGATCTCTGCTGAGAACTCACCACATGCTTTGCACAAATCTGTTTGGAGCCCACAGGGCAGAGCATGCAGTCACAGGGATGCAGGTGGAGGTGGACGGGCTCATCCCTGTTTGGGATAGGCTGAGCATTGTGGCAGAGCACACCAAAACACAGCCCAGAGTATCGGGACAGGGCATTTCCTGCAGAAATCCATGAGCAGCCCCGTGGCCTCAAGCAGCAGCTCTTGCCGGGGCTGGAGCCTGTGGTGCAAGGAGGAGGGGGAGCTGCTCCATCCCCCATGGCTCAGGCACGTTTTTGGTACTTGCACTCTGGTGGTGACTTATGACAATGAATTAATGGCCTCTTAATAAGGATGACACTTTCCTTAATTAGAAAGTATCAGAGCAGGGATAATTGCTTCATTTCATTTTGTTCCCCTATATTACTTCCTTCATTTTTGGTCCTCATTCTCAGCTGCTGGATGCCCTCTCACTGCTCTGTCTCCACAGAGCCAGAAACACTCTCAGGGACAGTGGGCATGACACAGAGACAGGAAAGATTGAGAGAAGTGAGTGTGGGTATGGCTGTGGTGCTTTCACTGGGAATACGGATGGAGAGGGGTGGGTGCAGATGCAGCTATGGTGCTGACACTTTCAGCAGGGTGGTGCCAGGTTTGCAGCAGTGCCAGGTGCTGGCAGCACCTGAGCAGGGTCAGAGCAGGTACCTGGCTGTTTGCACTGGGGTTGGTGGCACATGGGACCAGCTGGCAAGGCTGGAGTAAGGGCGAGGCAGCATCCACAGGCTGGAAAGCCCCAGAGGGAAGGCAGCAAGTGGTGAGAGTCAGGCAGCCCAGGACTGAGATAAATAATTGATCCAAAACAAGTATCACTTGTGTTGACCAGAGATGTACCGGATGCACCAGTAGCTTTGCTGCAAAACCAAGTTGAACATCCACAGCATTTCACTTGGGCCTTTTTTGGAAAGGCAAGTTTGGGGTTTGGTTTTGACATAACATTCCCAGGCAACACACTTGCACAGGCTGTTACTGGGGCCTCCAGGAAAATCCTTCACACCCCCTGGAGAAAATGAGCCTCTTCACTTCCCATCAGAGGATGCATATTCTAAAACTAGGAAGTATTTGATGAAGCCACATAACTTCATCACCAGTCCTGTCCTGCATCCCCACAGGATGAGCTCCCACTCCCCTCCATCCCCAGGTTGGGATGGGTCCCCATGGGACATGGCCCCCATGTTGTTACAACCCTGTAAATCATAAACAGCAGCCTCAGAGAGCTTTACAGCTCCAGCTCCTCCTTGAGGCAGGAGCTTTTCCCCCCTTAGCTTTCCCTCTTTGCACTGCAACCATTTTGCTTTGTCGCCATATCTAAAATTGAATCTGTTTGGATTTTCTCTCTCTCTTCTTTTTTTCCCCTTTTGCTTATATTTGCTGAGTGGATTCAAGCACAGGGAGGGGGGAAAAATAATAAAAAAATCCATCAGCATAATTTCTGGCTGTCGGAGTGATGGCAGGCTCCGGTTTCCAATCAGCAGCCCAGGCTGTGGAGCAGCGTGCGGGAGGAGGCTGGGGCTGGCCCGGATGCTGCCGCACAAACCAGCTGCAAATCCCTCTTTGTTCGGGAATCACTCTCTTTCAGCCGGACCAGCCTCTGCACAGCCTGTCCTGCGGATGTGTGAGCATGTGGCTGCTCCAAGGGCCTTTGTCCCCCTGACACTCCAAGGATAAAGGGGATGCATCAGCCGCCTGTGATCCTTTATCCCAGGATAAAGCCTTGGGAGACAGGGAATGCTGAGTCTCCCATCCTGGATCCGGGCATCAGTCATGCCCTTTCCTGTCTCTGTGCACGGTGCACAAGGCTCAGCAGACACGGGCTGAAGTCTGGGCTCCCAGTGCTCCCAGTGCTCCCAGTGCTCCCAGTGTTCCCAGTGCTCCCAGTCCCACGCATTGAGCATCTCACCATCCCACCAGTGGAGATGCTGGCCCTGCACAGCTCCATATGCACAGCAGTTAGTGGGAGTTTTTGGGATGTTTCCAGGGCAGCAACATGTGTAAGAGGCTCTGCAGACTCAGCACACATTTCATTCTAATAGACTTAAGGGTCTGAAGGGTGCTGCTGCAGCCCATGGATCAGACACTGACACAGGTTGCTCAGAGAAGCTACGGTTACCCCATCCCTGGAAGTGTTCAAGGCCAGGTTGGACGGGGCTTGGAGAAGCCTAGTGTGGTGGAAGGTGTCTAATTGTGATTCTAAAATGTCCTTTTAAGTTACTTTTTAAAGTGTAAATGCCCCATCAGCCAGCCCCCATTCTGGGCAAGGGGCACTGTCCTGCCTCCAGATCCCAACATCCCAAGAGGATCTGCATCCAGAAAACCAGATTATTTCCTGCTTTTCCTTAAAGGGTGGTTTTTACATTTGTGGAGTTTTAAACTCTTGTCCAGTTGTCTTTACAAGCCAGAACTGACCCTTGTCAGGGATTCCCAAATTGCTGCTGGGTTGGGGTGGAGGTCGCTGTGTTGGCTGCACCCTGGCAGGCACAGGGCAGGTCCAGGGAGATCTGCTCAGTACCAGCACGAGAGGCTGGAGAAGCAATGTCAGGACTGCATGTAGGGTGGCAGCACCTCACTGATACAGGCCATGTAATTGCTCTTTCCCTCATCTCCTCTTCCTGGGGTCCAAATCAATTTAATTTACATGCTCAGTGGCTTGGACTGCTTTGTTCCTGTTGCCAATCACCTTCTCCAGCATTTACAGTTGCAGTGTGTGTCTGGTTGTTGCTTCCTGGCCTTCTCCTGCCTTGAGTGGTGGGAATGGTGGGAACAGTGGGAACAGTGACCATGGGACCAAAGAACTGGGGAATCACCCCGTAGCCCTTTCCACAGCATTGTGCTGGTTTGCAAGGATGAGCTCTCATACACAACCCACTTCTGCAACAAAGCCTCGGTGCAAGGGGAGATGCCATGGTTTCCCTTGAGCACATGGAGGAAGGCAGCACCACTGCCCCTGTTGCTCTTCCTCCTCCTCCTCCACCTGCCTTTCCCAGCTCTGCCTGTGAAACAAAGCACTCCTCAGCATCTGCTTAACATTTGCTGTTCTTTTCAAGTCCATTCCTTGGCCCCTTCTGCTCAGTAGAGCCTGAAAATAACAACAGTGGGTGCCTCTATATTGCATACTTTCCGAGGTTTGTACCTTACTCAGCCTGTAGCTGCCTGCCCTCCCTAACCCCAGGGTGGCCAAGCTCCCCTATCTTCCTTCACCTTCATCCCATTCCTGGAGATGCAAAGCAGTGCTTTGTGGAAGCAGAAAATGGATATGGTAGCACTTTTGCACACACAGTGGAGCAGCTGCTAGGTTGAGCGATGGGCACCGTTTACAGCGAGGAGGGGACCTCGAAGGTGCTGAAGGCGCTGCCTGGTCTCAGCGAGCACATGGAGCTGCCCCATAGCCACCCCCGGGCAGCCGAGCTCTCCCGGGAGGCAGCCCCTGCTGGGAAGCGAGGCCGCCTCGGATAATCCTCATTTTATACAAAGAAGGTGGGTTGTGCCTGTCCCTCCCACCCTGCTGAGCACCCTCCGCTCCACCGATAATCATACCTAGCAATTACACCGAGCTTTCCCTGCTCTCTGCAGTCGTTAATTAAGCTCTTTTCCCCGCAATGGAGACAAAGAGGGGAAAACCGCGGGGAAACTCCCAGCTTGGGTTGGGGTTTTTTTGGTTTGTTTTTTTTTTCTTTTTGCACAACTGTGCCACAGGGCCTCCCAGTTCCCGGCCAGCACTGCAGGAGCCACATGCCGGTAATGGCAGGCAGGGTGGCCCTGACAGCAATGGTTGTTCTGGGTTCTGCTCTTACCTGGCAAAATTAATGTGAGTTTCCCTAATTTCTGGGTTACTGCTGGATCCTGGTGTGGTTATGCATTCCCGAAGCCAGTAACCAAGGCTGGCTCTGCCCTGCGGCACCTTCCCAGGTGCCACCAGCTCTGCCGGGGTGACATCCCAAGCCTGGGAGCTGGGAAAGTGCCCCATGGACATTGCAACAGGCTCGCACCCAGCATCATTCCAAGGGGCTGGGGTGGCTTTACAAGGGGACGTGGAGCACCCTGGGTTTAGATGGATTGATGGATGGGGAGGGCATCCTACCTACACCTTTGTGGGCAGAATGCTGAACAGGATACCCGGGACAGAACAGTGACATACAGGACACTGCCAACACCTTGGGAGGTAGGATGATGGGCGGGACACCCTGGAGGAAAGGATAACGGGCAGGGCACCTTGCCAGGCAGAACGACAAGCAGGTCATCCTGTCTGCATCTTGGAGAACAGGGTGAGGGAAAGGTGACCTGCCTATAACCTGGAGGGCAGGGCAACAGAGAGGACACCCTGGAGGGAAGATGACAGGCAGGACACTCAGCGCCCAAACCCTGGAGAGCAGGACGACAGGTAGGACAGGCTGCCTGCACCGCAGAGGGTGCGACAGAGGCCAAACAACCCGGAGGTGCGGATGGCAGCTCGGCACCCTGCCCGCATCCCGCAGGGGCAGCGCAGCGCAGCCCTGCCCGCACCGGGGTCCGGTCGCACCTGCCCCGGACAGCCCGGTCCGGGGGGCGCTGCCCCGTTCCGCCCTCCCAGGGCGGCGCCGCCGCCCGTCCTCCCGGTGCCGATCCCGGTGCCGGTCCCGGAGCCAGGCGAGGCCGGAGGGGCCCGGTGGCGGCGGTGAGGAGCGCGGGGCGGGCCGGGCCGGGCCGGGCCGGGCGGGGCGGGGAGCGCGCATGAGCCGCGGCGGCGGCGGCGGCGGCGGCGGCGAGGGGCGGGCGGGAGCGCGGCAGCGGAGCGCGGCGCCGCCGCGGGTGTGGGCGCGCCGGGAGCCCCGCACGGCGGCCCGGGGGCGGCGGGCGGCACCGCCTGGCCGGCCGGGGGGTGCCGGCCCTGCGCGCCCCGCACCGCGGCCCGGCCCGCCGAGGTAAGCACCGAGCGGCCCCCGGCCCGCCCGGCCCCGCGGCGGGGACCCCCGCGCCCCGCTCCGCTCCGCTCCGCCCGCCGCCGCGTCGCCATTTTGCCGCTCGCTCTTCCCCTCCCGGAGCGCGGCCGGGCCGGGCCGGGCCCTCCGTCCCCTCCCTGCCGGGCCCGGCCCGCGGGGAAGCCCCGGCCGCCTGGCGGGGATGGGGAGCGGGCCCGGGGGGTGACAGGCCCGGGCGGCGCTGCCCGTGGGGTGACAGCGGGGAGGGGCAGTGAGGGGACGCGGGCGGCACGGCCGGGCCGGGAGGTGACAGGGCAGAGGTCTCCGTGTCCGGGAGGTGACAGCGGGACCGGGCAGGGCAGAGCTCCCCGCGCTCAGGAGGTGACAGCGGCACCGGGCAGAGCTCCCCGCACCCACTGACCCCCGGGACATGGGACACCCCGGTCCCCGCGGCACGGTGAGGACTCATTGTCTGCCAGGCTTGTGCGGATGCTGTTCCCTTCATGTCAGTGCCCGGGGACAGACAGGGGAGGGACGGGATAACGCGCCTCGAACAGAAACTTTACACCCTCAAAAGCCTCGTCTGCGCCTGGTCAGAGCCATGTGCGGCAGGAGCGGTGGGTGCGTGCCTCGGGTGAGGTTCTCCCTCCTGGAAAGCCTCGATGGCTGTCACTGGGTTTGGGTGATAGCGGTGGGATGCTCCGTGTCCCTTCGAAGCTGCCCGGCCACCAGCCGTGCCCAAGGAGGCAGCGGCTCGAAGGGCTTCGCCTGCCACGTGCTTCCCTCCCGGGGAAACCTCCAGCGAGGGCGATACTTCGAGAGGAAGCCTCTCCCTCTGCTTCCTTGTCTTCATTCCCTGCAAGTTTTTCCCAGCATCTCCAGTTCTATCAGGAGTTCATGGGAGGGAGCACAGCTCCTCCAGCAGTGACTAGGATGGCAGTGCCCTTTGGCATCCATCAACTATGCTAGTCTCGTTGCATCTCTGCTGGCACACGGCTTGTGCTGGGACAGGCAGCTCCCTTGGCTTTTGGCATTCTGTACCTCTGGAGCTATTAGTAAATTATTGATGATAGGTGGAGCAGATTGACAGGTGACCAGGCTGTTGTCGTGCAGCAAAGTTCATCCATAGCGATGGGACTGGGATGGGAATCCCGGCAGGAGAATGTGGGGTCATGATCTGCAGGTGACTTTCCCCTGGTAACTGTAAGGACATCGTGAAAGGGTCACAGCCGTCCCTGGCTATGTACATGCTCCTTCAGGCCTGATCCAAATTAATAGACAGGCATTTCTACATGGAATTATTTCTCCTTTCCCATTCTATGCTGTGCAAGCTAGTGCCTTGGGAACAGTGCCTTTTGTTCCCAAATGTCACTTCCCTCTTCCTGCATCCATGGGTTTCCTCCTTACTCTTGCTCCGAGTAGCATCAGCTTGGACTTCGCTCATCGTATTTTAATGATGCGGTTGCAGGAGCTTTTTTTTTTGTCCTGGAGCTGAACTGGGATGTTTCCAAAATGTTGCCACAAAGTTCTGAAAAGTTACCTAGAAAGAGCTGGAGACCTCATAAGATGCTACCAGGCCCAACCTTTGCACAGCACATCCCACTCCAGCTCATGGCCAGAACTTGTGGATACCTTCTATTCCCATTACCGGTTGCAAAAGAGTTTTCAGCAAAACCTTAAGGAAAATGTGGAAGAGCACAGGCTGTTGCCTATTTTCAGTGTGTGTTACTGAGAAATGAGCGAGAAGTTTGAACATTACCAAAAAACCCCACAATGGGCTGATTTTTGCTCTGTGTCTTCAGGACAATTCCTCTGTGATCCCTGGGGTCATATCAGTGGCCAGGGAGCAGATTTTGGCTCTTGCTGACTGATTTGTGAGATTTTTATTTTCCATTTGGCTAAAAACTGAGGGGGGAAACGCAAAGGAGTATTTGGTGTGGGAAAACAGAAGATTCAGAACCTCTTAAGCTGGGCAGAGAGGATTCCTTTGAGGGGACAGATATGTTAAGGGGGATGAGAGGTGTCCAGCTGCTGGAGCTGGGCTGAGCTGGGCACTTTGGATGTTCTGGGAAAGGAGAGTTGGGGTGATGCTCAGTGGTATGGAGTGTCGTGGGGTGCAGAGGTGAGCACCAGAGATGTCAACAGGGTCTGCCCTGCCTGTCACCCTTTGAGTGTCACCTTGAGCTGGGCAGTGAGACAGGCAAGGAGATTCTGTGCTCCATCCCTCATTGTGTTTTGGCACTAGCCCTGTCTGGATAAAGGTGTGTGGGTTTCCCTTTGGTTTTCACCCCATTGTAAGCACAGAAATCTTGTCTTCAGCTTTCACTTCACTGTTTTTTCGTGAGTCTTTTTTTCCCCTTTCATCTTTAAGCAGCTTGAGTGAGGATTGCTCAGAGGTGCCAGGAGGCAGCATGGGAAGGAGGGGGACTGGCACATTTTTCCCTGGAGGACTGGGGATAGTGCCCACACTGGTGGGAGTGGAGCAGCAATTTGGGAAGGGATCACAGGGACCCTCTCTCTGTGCCTGCTCCAGAAAGGAGTTGCTGTCAGGCAGGCTACAAACTCCTACCCAGCTCTCCCACCAAAAGAGCCCAAATAAGTTGAATCAGCGACCCCCATGTTCAGCACCAAATGCCACAGAACCAGTTTCCAAGCCTGGAATTTCTCACTTGATCTGATTAACCTTTGTGTCCATACAAACAACCACGTATGTGTCACCAGCCGAGCACATGCTGGAAGCTTTTGCCAGTTCTTGGAGCATGTGGGCTGCATCCCACATGGAAAGTCCCCAATTCTACACGGAAAGTCCCTGGGGACACCTCAGAAAGAACTGGTGGACTCTCGTGTCCTGCATGTTGATGGCGTGGCTGGCAATCTGGCCATGCAGGAGATGCTCCTCCATCCCTCTGGGCATCAGGACAGACAGGATGAGTGTGGATGCTTTGGGAATCAGCTCCTTTGAGTTAAATGATGTTAAACATGTGGGAGGAATTGCATGTGACGAGTCAAATGCATGTTTTAAAAAACTCATGAGTGACCGTCAGCATCCCGTCCCAGCCAAGGTCTCAAGGTCATGGTGGTCCAAGGAATCTCTTCCCAAGGGACTGCTGCTCTCATTGTGGAGGCATGGAGGACTTCTTTTCCCCAAATCCATATATGGCATCTCCCATAGCAGCCCCCATGCTCAGATGTGCTTGTGCTGTCGGGAGGGGAAGAAGGAACTTGAAGCTGGAGGCAGAGCCAGTCATGCCGTGGGCTTCCTCTTGGCATTGCTGAATGAAGGGGTGTCCTACTGCCCACTTCCATCAGGAGTGAGAGTGGGCCTTGTGTGATAATTCCTGACGTTCATTATTTATAGAGAAGCCAAATTGAATTATTAATACGGAAAATTCAGATAACATTAACAATTCTCAGTTTATAACAGTTTCCCATTAATAAGGAAAATTGGAAATTTATCATTACATCTGTTCATTAAAACTCACTTTTTTTTTTTTTTTTGCTTTTGGTGTCTTAAATGAAAGCGGAGAAATAAACGAAGAGGAAAAGCCATTTATTCACTATTTCTCTGGGCAAAGTCAGCCCATAATTTTTAATAAAGTCTTTGCCATTGTATGTGAAGGGGAAGCCAGGCTGTAATGAAAGCAGCTTTCCAGCCATGTCTGTGGCGTTCCTCCACTGTAGAACAAATACTCGGAAGCACGTCCCGTTTCTTCTCTTTGTGGAAATCTTGAAACTGCGTGATGGTTTTCTCATTTCCCTCCCTCCCTCCCTCCCTCCCTCCCCAGCAGCTCTCCTTGCTTTCACCATGTGTTGCTCCCAGCTCCGAGGAGTGAATTTTAACGCCTCCCCTGCTTCTTTCAGAGATGGCGGATTCCTATACCTGTAAAGGTGGAAGGAAAACTGCAGGCTCTAACAAACCCACTGCCAGCAAAGAAAGCAGGACAGAGACGAGGATAAGCCCACCAGCAGAGCTGCCCAAGCTGGGTAAGGAACTGATTTGTCCTTTCAGTGGAGGTGGGTGGGGTGTAGGGGATGAGCCCAGTGTCAGGAGTTGAAGAGTGGCTGCCAAAACAAGTGGCCTGGGTCTCGATGTGTGTCTGCTCCTCACAGACTCACCAGTAATGGCTGTGCTGGCCAAGAAGCCCCAGCCCTGGGAGCTGCAGAGAGCTGATCCCTGGGAGCAGGAGGGGAGGGGTGGAGATGGTCTCTCCCTTCGGAGAGGCGTGTGTCTGGCTTAACGAGATGGGTGTCTCGCTGCCTATTTATCGTGTTGGTAGCTAAGTGTTACATCAAAGGATGGAAAGGCTTAAATGAGTTCAGGCCATCTGCTGCCTCCCGTGTCGCGGCCCCCGGGGTGGAGGCTTGCAAGCATACGAGCCCCGGGGGACCCTCACACTAAGGGCTGTCATGTTGATGGATGGCTGATTTCTCTATCCAGGAATCTCCAGGCCTAAGGAGATTTTTCCTCCTGTCTGCTTATGCTGGGCAGATCCCCTCTGTGAGAGAGGCTCCCACTGCCTTTACCTTGCTAAGGGCAGCTCTGGGTGCCGAGGTGTGCCTGCATCCCAAGAAAGGGTTGGACCCCACTGATGTAGCTCAGACAGGGCTTCCAAAATCAGTGGCTTTGTGGGGAAGTGTGTGTGCCCTAAATGTTTCCCAGATGCCCCTGTTACCTTGAGGGGATTGAAGCCATAATTGCTAACAGAGGAGGATAACTTATTGCCAAAGGGAATGAACTCCAGCTGTCCGCAATATGAACATGCCTGTGTTCAGGAGACCATTTTTCCCTGTGCCACATCTTATCAGCACCTCATTTGCAGGGGAGCTGGCATTGTCTTCCAGAGGGGCATCTCCATCCTTGCTAGGACAGAGAATGGCCAGCCTAGAGCTGAGGGCATCAGGCAGGCAGCAGGAAGCTGAGGCTGGGCAGCAGAATTACTGGGACAGTGGTTCCTCCAGCACGGCTGGTGATGCGTGCTGTGTCTGTTTGCAGGAAATGCAACCAGTGACAAAACTGAAGGCAGGAAGAAAGGAAGACCCAAGGCTGAGAACCAGGCGCTGAAAGACATCCCTGTAAGACCCCACATGCTCCAGTCCCTGCTTTGCTCCATCTGACATGCCCTGCACTGTGCACTCCAGCCAGCCCCATTCCAAGATTAAACCTCCCTTCCCTGTGGTTTAATCTTCAGAGCAGCCTTGTCTTGGGCTGAGCAAGATCTTGGTCCCTCAAACTCTGCATTCAGGCATCCAGCATCTACAGATAAGAAGCCTTTCCAGCCTCACTTTCCCAGGCCGTGTCCAGATGACCGGATCCTGTCACAGCCGTGTCAGGCTTGGCTAATGAGCCAGCAGCAATGGCAAGGGGGTGATTTATTCCCTGCAGAGTTGTGCAGTTTAATTCCTGCCTGGTGGCATGGACAACACATGGAGCCATTTGTCATGAGAGCAGGGGCATAGGGTGATTTACGGACTAGATGAAATGTGGGGTGATTAAATCAGCCGGGTGACTTCGGGCCTGATTTATTCCCCAGCCTGGTAGGGAGTGTGTGTGTGCTCTGGGAGGTACAGCAAGGTAAAGCCTCAGCAGGAATCATTATCCTATGGAGCCTGCAGCATCTGTCCCAGCAGCTCTCACTGGAGTGACCACTGCTATGCTGAAACACACCCCTGGGGTCCACTTCATGGCTATGTGGTGGAAGGGATGGACTGGAATTATCAGAGGTCTCATGTGCCCTCCCAGCTCCCTTGGGATGCATCAGCACACACCCAGGCACAGGGTGCTCTTTACTCAGCTATCTCTTGTTACTCCTGTTCCCAGCTCCCCCTGATGAACCAGTGGAAGGACGAATTCAAAGCCCACTCTAGGGTGAAATGTCCCAATTCAGGCTGCTGGCTGGAGTTCCCCAGCATTTATGGCTTGAAGTATCACTATCAGCGCTGCCAAGGGGTAAGGAGACTGGAGAGCTGTCTGTCCTTTTCAGTGGCTGGCTCTTCCATTACCATCTGCAGGGTAATGTTGCTCTCAGGGTTTAAACATCAGGAAAAACGTGAGGTGAAAATGGGGAGGGCAGAGACGGGCCAGGAGCAGTTTGTGAGGTGTGTGTGTGTGAGAGGGACTGAGGTCTCTGCAGCTCAGTGTGAGGTCTGGCCCAGGGGATCACGGACTTATGGTAACTGTTTGGAAGGGCAGAAGAGTACTACACATAATTTATGTTCATGCCTGTGTCAGAAAAAGCCTCTTTTGTGATCTAACATCTGTGCTCACCTGCCTCTCCCCGCTCCATGCAGGGTGCGATCTCGGAGAAGCTGACATACTCATGCTCATACTGCGAAGCTGCCTTCACCTCCAAAACCCAGCTGGAAAAGCATCGGCTCTGGAATCACTTGGACCGGCCAGTGCCAACCAGCAAAGCAGAAAACAAAGTGCCCAAGGCCATTGGGAAGAGCAGTGGAAAGAAAAGGTACCAGGCTGTGGCTGGGCTGCATGGCAGTGGCATAGGGATGGCTGGGGGAAGGGGAACGTGCCTGCTTCCATTCCTACAATCTGGGCTGGCAAGGGGGGAGAGGTGTCAGGACACTTGTCTAACAACCCCTCTTTAAACAAGCCCTCTGTGCTTTGCCCTAGACCTGCTGAGAGTTCAGCTTGCCCCACCATCCATCCCAAACAGGCAAAGATGGAAAAAGCCGTGGCCCAGGAGCACGCGGAGAATGGCGAGTGCCTGGCAGAGAGCCGGGAGAGCAAGGAGTTCCAGATTGCAGCAGCTGAGGCCATGGCAGCTGCCACCCCCACGGCCAAGTCCTCCAGTGGCAAGGACACCGGGCAGCAGCGGGGCAGCCAGGCCTCACTGCAGGAGGAAGACCCCGAGAGGATGAAGCACAGTAAGATTAGAGCCCAGGGTGACGCTGGTTCAGGAGCCCAGAGAGAGCTGTCGCACGGGAAGGGGATCTGCTGCAGCCAACACTGCTGCAAGTGTCTCTCTGAACCCAAGGATAGCCAAGCCTTGTTTCCAGACTTTAATAACATGCCCTGCTCTCCAGTTTCTTGCAGCTTCACTGGGAGTCAAAACTCCGTTGTAGCTGTGGTAGAAATATTTCTAAAGGACCTGTGTGATGATTGGATTTGATGATCTTAGAGATGTTTTCCAACCTTAACCAGCCTTTCCAATCATGATAGGATTGGAAATGGGCTGAATTCCTGGCATCACAGCAAGCTGCCATGTCAGCCTGTCTGTCCTCACTGAGTGTCAGGTGAAACCAGGATGGTTCTGGCAAATGCGTTTTCCTGAAGGATTGGGACAGGGTGAGGAGCCTCTATCTGTCCATGGCCACTGCAGAGCTGGTGTAGGGCAGTGGTTGTCTCCAGCATGGTTTGGGGTTCCACTTCCTGCAGCACCAAAGCAAACTACCACAGCCTATGAGATGTGGGAACTGCTTAGCTTTTGCACTGGACAGAGCCGCCACTTTCACTCATTGAATTAATCCTGAATAACAGATTTATCCTGGTTTTCTGGAGTGGGAAGCAGCAGTCTGTTGGTATTTAGTGGGGGGGTGCTTCATCTGACAGCCTTTGACCCACTCCTAACGTGGAGTGTCTGCCCACCCCATGCCCCAGGACTGATTAATCCCCCTGACAGTACAGTTATTTGACCAAATCTCTCTCTCTGTTTCTCTCTTTTGAGTCAGGAAGGAAACAGAAAACTCCTAAGAAGTTTACGGGGGAGCAGCCGTCCATCTCGGGGACATTTGGACTGAAAGGTAATACAGGACAACTCTGGTCAGCTGTAGGGTTGTACCTTCCCCCTTTTGGGAAGGGGCATTGCAGGGAAGCCCCTTCCCCAAGATCCCTCTCTCTGGTGGAGCCAGACAAAGCCCGAGGATCTCACACTGGAGGAGCTGGCACCTTTTACCACGAGAGTGTCATAAAGGGAGTGAAAAGCAGCAGCAGCAGAGCTGGGACTGATAACAACCCTGTCTGCTCTGTTCTGGAGCCTGGCACTGGGAAATGAGAGAAGAGAGGAAAGGATCCGGGTATGTTCATCTGTAACACAACAGTAACGATCTGCTGACACCAGCGAGATATGAGAAACATCATCTCATCACCATCCCACCATCCCAGGGTGTCTCAGCGTTTCCAGCGGTGTCAGGAAGGAATTCTGCTGCGTTGAAAGGCTGCTGGTGACGCACCCATCCCTCAGACTCCATCTCCAGGGCTGGTCGCCCACATCCAGGAGAATGAATCCAAGGGAGAGGAGATGTGTTGCTGGGATGTTTGCTGAGAGGAGGCCCAGGAATAGGCTGCTGCAGCCTGACAAAGGAAGAGCAAGTGGGACTTTGGTCATGCTCCATAAATACACTAAACTGGCTGGGAAGGAGGGGGAAATCCTGGAGCATCCCTGGAATGAGAGCAACTGGATTCAGGCTGACTATGAGAGAAATAGAAAGCGGATTTCCAGGCACTGCAGGAGGCAGCACCTTCCAGTATGAGGCACTCGGGGGAGAGGCACTAATGGCTTTGAAAGAATTGAACACTGACGAGCAGGCTGGATGTGGTCTCTGTGATTTCCTTTGGTCTGGCTCCTGGGAAGTCTGGGCTTGTTTCCCTTTTCTTCCCCACAGAGGCACTGCTGAAGACTGAAGTGTCTGCTGTGGGCTCCTGGAGAACAAGGTCATCTCCATGGCCCAGTGCCTCAGATGGAAAGTGAAGATGGGGCAGGTGTTTGCCTACACTCCCCAAGTTCCATGTGGCAGTCACTTCCCAGAGATGAGAGTGCCCCAGCACGTCATGGGGTGCTCTCTACATTCAGACCCCGGATTTGCAAGAGTCACAACCCCCAGGTTTAGGGGGATGTGGACCCTCATGGGAAGGTGTGGATCTGACCCTGGCACTTACCTCATTACCTCCAGCACCTTCTGTGGAAGTGCAGGCACAGGGCTGAACTGCACATGGATTTGGGGATTCAGGGGAGTTAAACAGCATTTCCAGTGCAGGAACATAGCAGGAGCATCCCTTTTACACACTGAATTTGCTGCTCCAATTCTCTCTTTCAGTTTCTTGTGAAACACCCTATTCCCTTCTCCCCAGCCTATCTACCTGGCTGGAGGAGAGTGATCCTACCTCACTTTGCCATGGAGTTTCCATAGTTCATAAACTTGTGTTGGGGGAAATGATGCTGTTTGTAAAACACCCCAAGCTGTTAGAATATTGCTTGTCATAATTATGGACCTGAGGCTACATGTACAACCTTGGTAGACATACAGCCAGCTCAGCGTCCCTGGCTTAGAGGGACAGATTTTTACCTGTTAAATGTGAGTTTCTCTGAAGGCATTAAAGCAAGTAGTGAATAAAAATCCTCTTTCTTTACAGGACTTGTCAAAGCAGAGGACAAAGCAAAAGCCCATCGAGCCAAGAAGCTGGAGGGAAATTCCAACATGGAGGAGCTGAAAAAGAAACCTCCAGGAGTTGGTGTGAAGAAGGAAACATCTGTGCATCCACCAGCAGGTGAGGCGAAGCAAAGGCACCAGCTCTGTGTGCAGTGTAGCTGCTTTTCTGTGCACTACCCAAAGCCTGCATGGTCCCTACCTTCATGCCTCCATTGCCACCTTCACCTGCAGCTCGTGGTTCCCACACCCCTCTTGGCCCCGCGGGTTGTTTGCAGGGTGAGTTTTCTGGCAGGTTTGTCAGGAGAAGCAGCACAAAGTCAGAGGTAGGAGCACACAACTCCTGCCCTTTTGAGATATAGCACAGATGTGGGAACAGTCACTGTACTAAAATGTTGGTGCCATCACAATTGACATCCTGAGGGGCATCTTACCTTCAGTTCACTGCCAGGTCAACGTGATGAAAGTGCTGGGAGTTGAGAGCCAAGTTCCACCTGGCTTCACTGTGAGTCAGCATGTGACCCATGTGATGATGGCATTTTTCTAACATCATTCCCATGAATGACACCAGTGCTTAACTCTGGGCATAATTACACCTTCCATGAGCCTCGAGGTGCAGCCTATACCCAGAACAGGTTTCTTGCTTTCCCTGAGAGTTCTGACAGCAGGAGGAACTCAGGATGTGCAAGATAAACACAGCTGCAGTGCCTTGCACTGCTTTCAAATTCAAATAAACGACTCTGATCTCACAGCCATGCAAGAGCATCCAAATAAACAGACTTGGCGGATTTTATTCAGCCCGGGCTTCCCTTGCTGGAATGCCAGCACTGCTCTGCTGAGAACGCGGCATGAACTCTAGGCCTGGGAGCTGCTTTTGGCCCTACATATCTCTTATTTTGGGCTTTTTAAAGGCCAGTCACAGCCATTCAAATAAACAGATGCCTGGAAGCCAGCAGTCCCCCAGCTTCCTCTGTGTCTGCTGGGAAGAGGATTGCCAGAAAAGCTTTCCAAGCACACGTCCGGATGGAGCTGAGACTCTCACCTTTGTTTCACTCCCACTAATTGTTTCTTTTGGCTGGGGGAAGTTATTCCAAGCAGGGCAAGATCAGGTGGCTGGGGGCATCATCGTCTTTTTATAACTCCCAGTGTGCAGGATACCAGAGTGGTTGGAAAGACGAGGGTGTTTCCCCAGGTCACCAGGTCTGGTAACTCCACATAAAATGACCCAGTGACCCAGTTTACTTGGGCAGCTGCAAGCGATGGAGCAGGGAGAGCTGCATGGTTCATGTCCACTTTTGGCTTTGCCTGGGAGAGTGTATCTCTTCTTTTAACATCAGGAACTTTCCCACTTCACTGCTTTTCAACTTATCAAATCAAGCAGCTGAGGCAGGTTGGATGTTAACACCTCTCTCCTCTCCCTCAGCAGCAAACCCCGAGGACCAGTGGCAGCGGGAGATCAGTGAGAAGGGGGAAGTTTCCTGTCCAACGTGCAGTATTATAACCAGGAAAACTATTGTGGGACTCAAAAAGCACATGGATGTCTGCCAGAAAGTAAGGCCTTGCTTTATTCAGTCAAACACATGGATTTTGGAGGGGAATGGATGTGTACATATGCTTCTCATAAATGTTCAGTGGTGCTCCTAAAACCTTTCTGGACTGTGCTTGATAGAACACTTGTTGGTCATCTTCAGCTTGCTGGCTGACTTGCATTGACCCAGAGGGATTTGGACAATAATTCTCAGCAGTTCTAAGTTCCTTTGTGATCTGGGCCCCTTGCGCCTGTGTCTCAACAGAGTCAGGTAATTCTAGTAGCTAAACAAATAGTTTTAAGGCTGGAGAGCTTGTTGGGGCTGTGTCGAATCTGGCATCCTCCGGAGCCCTGGCTGTGGGGTTTCACTGTGTGCTGTGCCTGGTATGAGACCAGATGAACTGGATGCATGAGAGCATGTCTCAGAGAGACTCTGAGCCTGGATGTGCTCAGGCAGGATGTCAGGATGCAGGAGTTCAGTAATGGTGCAGTGAAAAATTGTCTCTGTGCCACACCACCATCCATCAGAGCGCAGGATTACGTCTTCATCCGTCACCTGGCGGAGCTGTCGCCACAGAAAGCCAACGTGGGATCGATGCCTCCTGCTTTGAAAATATGTGGTTGGGCTTTGATTCCACATTCATTTTCTGTAAATGCTTCCCCAGCCATTGCCTTGTTGTTTATACAGCAGTGGGAGGCTGCTGTCCCTCCCAAACACCGTACTACAGCAACGCTGGGCAGAATCCTGCTGCCTCCAATATCCTCCTGGCCTCAGTGGAGTGGGGATCCTGGCCATCATTGGTCGTATTTCCTCCACTTTGGAACATCTCCCAAGCCAGGCTGGCTCTCTGCAGTCTGCACAGCCAGATGACCTGCTGAGCAGGGCTCTGCTGGAGCAGTCAGTGGTGTCTTCCCTGCTGGAAATATGCCAGCCTTATATTAAGCCAAAGATTTGGGGCACCAGCCCTTGGAGTGGGTGTTCTGACACAGTTCCTGAGAGAGACAGTCCTTGCCAGAGATGGCTGTGGTGCTCTGGGAGCTGGGATGCTTCATGGAAACCCAGGCAGGCAAGTCCCTAAGCTCCAGTTGTGTGACCAGAGGTCCAGCTCTCAGCATTCCATCTCTAAGATGTACCTGTGGCACAATCTTAGTGAGACCCTGCTGCTACAGCCACCCTATCAGAAGCCACCCTGGAGTTGAAGCACCCCCTCTTTAATAACTGATATAGTCCTTAGCTGGACAATGGGAAAAGGAAGTGCAAGCTCCCAAAACTCTTATTAAAAAATGGAAATTGGTTTTTCTGTTCCATGCTTGTCGCTAAGCAGTCTGCACCTGTTTCCTTTAGTTTTGGAATGGAAATAAGAGATGGAGAGGATTGCAACATGCTTAGGTCTGAAGGAGGCAAGGGCAGTTATATCCTCCTGGTATCCCAGGTGGGAGGGCTTGTTGGAATGTGGGCATGGTATGTTTTTAGGTGTTGACCAGACGAGTAAATCCCAAATTAGCTGCTAGTAGCATCTAATGAGTCAAGGAGCTGTTAGCACCCACCTTGTTAGGATCAAGAGCTTGCGTCTGGGACAAGATTAACTGATGGGAGCACAGGTACCATGAGTCACTCCTAACTGACTGCAGTGAGTCTATTCTTCCTTTTCCTGGAGTTCCATAATGAGGAGAGATTTGCAGATCCATCTTCATTGCCTCTCCATCTTTTAGTTCAGTCTTGCTTGACCTTCACCACTGTCCCTTCAATCATCTGGCAGGAGAAGCAGGAATGACCACGGCTGGCCAGGCACTGGCTCCCTGTCAAGATACTCTGTCTCTTGGTGCCCAGAGTATGAACCTCCTGAGTCAATAAATTCTGGTTCCTTCCCCAGCAAAAGTCAAGATCTGTTCACCCTCTGTGCAAGTGCCCCTGTTACCTTGGGATATGCAGTTAGCACAATTCCCCACGCACTCAGGAGGCTGAGTTGGGTCAAACAGCAGGGCAGTGAGAGGCAGAAAATATCCTCTGTGATTGTGTCCTTAATTTCACAAAGCCCAGGCACCCAGAAATTGCCCTGTACACTAGCATCTGTCTTACTTAACAGGACTGCAGAGCACAGTCCACTGGCATTGGTAGGTCAAAGCTGCTTCTCTCTCTCATCCTTTAATAGGAAGAGTAAGACAGGTCCAGGTGTTTTTGGCCAGTGAGGCTTTACATCTAAATCCAAAATGGACTGTTTTCCAAAAATTTGGGCATGTGGGTTTGATAACAGCATCCAGGACAACAGAGAGAAAGCTCAGACAGAGCCTAGGATGGGAAATGGGGATGCTGTGTTGCTTGCGGGGTCCCACTGCTGGGTACTGCTGCAGCAACAGCCGCCCATGGGGTTATTGACCAGCAGCAGCAGCAGCCCTTGGAAGGATGTAGCCTGTCTGGTGACTTGCCTTTAATTCCTTCAGCTGCAGGATGCCTTGAAGTGTCAGCACTGCAAAAAGCAGTTCAAGTCCAAAGCTGGGCTGAATTACCACACCATGGCTGAACACGTCAGCAAGGTAAGGGAGCTGGGCTGTGCTCGTCCTGTGCCTCCTTTCTGCATGCAGGTGATGAAGCCATCCATCAAAAGTCCTCTTTCCATGATCTTTGTGAAGGAGGGATCCACCTTTGGAGCATTTCACACACTGCTCAGTCTGGATGGTGGCCTTCCCTCTTCCTGCCAAGGAAAGCATTTCCTTCTCAGGTAGTGAGTTAGGTCTACTTATCAGTTGATCCTGCTAAGTAGAGCAGAGGACTGAAAAAATAAAAACAGGGTTACAGATCCCAACAATGGAGGAAGATCCGGTGAGTATGGTGAAGTGGATTTTGAGTGGCAAAGCTCTGCCTCCAAAACTGTGCCTGCAAATCCGGGACTGATGGGTTCTGCCTTGCACCAATCTCGAAATCATATCTTTAGCTCTCCACTGTGCATGGGAGAAGCAGCCACAAAATTTATCATTCATAAATTTTGCAGGCACTAGTTTAGATGCAGTTTTAAAAGTCTGGTTTTGTACATCTCTGAGATACCAGGGCAAGGCATAACTACATTTCTGCATGTCCCGTGCTTACCAGTTGTGACTTGTCTTTTACCTGTGCCTTAATCTCCTGCTCTTCAGTCTTGCTGGTGAATCCTCTGTGCAGGAACTGCTCCTGGATTTCTCAGGTGGCCTTTTGGGTGTAATGACAAGAAAAGCACGAGCAGATCCAGCGCATAACAGCGAACCAGTGGGAGATCCAGCTCTCCTAGTGAGAGGTTCCCTCCAGCCCAGGGCAACTCCCTGCAAGGCAGGGGTTCTACCATCCACTCCTGGCACAGAGGACATGAGTAAATGGTTGACTCTGTCGCTTCTGTTACTTCCTTGTTTCCAGCCTGTTCCTGTGGAAACCGCTGGACTTGGTGAACAGGAAGAGCGGGAAAGGCTGAGGAAAGTGCTAAAGCAGATGGGAAAACTGAAATGCCCCAATGAGGTACGAGAACAATTCTTGTTTCTCGTTCTGTGAAAAGGTGGAAGGAGTGAGTCCCATGCAGAAGGGGACATGTACTCTCCAGGCATCCCTTGGCATGTGTTTGACATTTCCACCTTAGCTCAGCCATCCCAATCCCTGTCCCACTGGCTCTGTATGCTCCAGCAACAGGACAGCCCAGCAGGAGGGTGGGCACAGGGCAGACTGAGGAGCGCTGCAGGGCAGGTTCTGCCTCTTGAGCTCAGGAAGGGGCACAGCCTGTCCTGGGCACAGCGTAAAACCAAACCAAACCACACCAAAAGCAGAGCCAAGCGGGTTGCAGACAAGTCACGAACAGGTAAGGGAGGCGTGTGGCAGAGGTTTGTCTCGCGGGTGCTTTGCTCTCCCTGCAGGCAGCATCTCCCAGGTGCCTTCCCCTCCTGCTGCCTGCTGCTGTGTGTCTGTCCGAACAGCTCTGTCTGTATGTTGGGGCGGGGAGTGCCAGGGGCAGGGACAGCTCCTCCCATCCCTCCAGGTCGCTGCCTGTCGTGCCTTTGCCTGGCTCTTTGGGAACTGTCAAATTCTCCAACGCTTGGACAGGATGGATTGGCAGAGCTGCTCTTCAGAGTGGGCTCCTCAGGAATGTTCCTCTCTGGAGAAACAGCACCCCAACCTTTTCAACGTGGCCACGTGAAGCCCCAGCCCTCCGTAACCCTCCCCTTCTCCCCATCTCCATAGGGTTGTGTGGCCAACTTCTCCAGCCTGATGGGCTACCAGTACCACCAGAAGCGGTGTGGCAAGCAGCTTGCCGAGGCCGACAAGCCCGTGTTCAGCTGCCCACACTGTGGCAAGAAGTACAAATCCAAGGCTGGCCACGACTACCACGTGCGGTCAGAACACACGGCCTCGGTGAGCCCCCCGGACGCCTCCGCAGCCCGAGGAGCGGGGCCATCCCCCCCCGGGGGGGACTGCAGAGCTGCAGAGCCCACGGGCAGGACAGAGCCGGGCAAGGCCGGGCCGGGCAAGGCAGGTGCAGACGTCGGGCCAGTGTTGTTTTCTCGCTCAAATCACCATGCACGTGTGTTGTACCATGCAGTGTCGAGGGGGAGCAGGGTACACCCTCCTCCACTCCTCTAAAAATGCTGTTGGTGGGAGTGGTCAGCAGCATTCCCTTTCCCCAGTGCCCACAGGGCTGTGCTCCAGCCCACCGTGCATCTGCGCTCTGCAGGGAGAAAAAAACAGACCTCGGGCTGCTCCCTCACAAGCGCCAGCTGCTTGCCAGTGCTGGGGTGGAAGGATCTATCCCTGGGGAGCATCCCTTTCTGTTCTGTTGATCCCTGCTGACAGTGTATCCAACACTAATCACTCCCTAACTCTAATAACTGGAGACATTTATACACGTGGGAGCACGGAGGGACACAATCTATGGCTGCTGCTGGGCTGGGGCAGGCGGGTGCTCCCCTTGCTCCGATGCTCCAGTGCAGAGGCACAAAGCAAGTCTGGAAACACACAGCCCAAATCCCAGCATCCCCATCCCAGGGCCGGAGAGCTCACTTGTTCTCTTGTCATGCCCTTCCTGACTCTGTCTCTTTTGCAGCCTCCAGAGGAGCCAGAGGTGAAGCCAGAGCCGGGTCCCGTAGAGGATTTTGAGAGGACCCCGAGCGGCCGCATCCGTCGGACGTCAGCCCAAGTCGCCGTCTTCCACCTCCAGGAGATTGCAGAGGATGAGCTGGCCAGGGACTGGACCAAGCGGAGGATGAAGGATGACCTGGTGCCTGAAACGAAGCGGGTGAGCAGCCTCCAGTTTTCCTTTTGGTTTTTGCACTATCTGCACACAGAGATCCCAGGAATCCAGCCTGGCTCCAGCTGTACACGGAGATTCAAGGATTCCAGCCTGGCTCCAGCTGGTTGAGGGCTCACATGTCTCACTTGCTGTGTCTTAAATTAATTAGCTGTGATGGCAGATTTATTGCTGAGGAGCCCACCCAGCACAGGCTGAGCTGCTGTGGTCTGGAGGCTCCCAGCAGCAGGCAGCTGTGCCCTTTGGAGGAAGAGGTGGTGCACTGGGAAGAGATCAAGGTCTGGCCCTGAGAGTGTTGGGGCAGGAGGTCGTTTGTTGTCCATACTGAGCAGGGAATTAGAGGCAGACAGCCAAGAGGAGCACGTGAAGAGAGCAGATCAGAGAGCAGATCAAGTCTGAAACCATGTCTCTTGCACTGTCAGAGAGCAAAGATGCCCCAGGCAGAATTCCCTACCTTCCAAATCTCTTTCTTAACTTCTGGGAGATGCTTTCCTGGGGGTAAAAGGCCTGCAGCATCCCAGAGCAGCACTGCTGGGAGCAGAGGAAGGCAGAGAGTGGAGACAGGACTAAACCTTGCAAGCTCCAGCAGCCGTGCACTCGTGGCCCAGAGCTGTCGGGGTTGCACAGGGCCTCAGAAGGCTTGAGTTTTTTGTAGGCATTGGAGTGAGTACATGTTAAACCAAACCTCCCTTCTGGCTGTGGGAGGAGGTGATTATTCCTGGGAGTGTACTAAAGCTGAAATTCCCTCCAGGTATGCTCCTTCTGGACTGTAAAAGGACGTAAATCATAAAGGGGGAAAAAAGGGTATAGGAATTCTTTTTGTTTGCCAGGACTCAATGCAGAGCTCTCCTGCAAGTCTCTGCATGAGGTGCAGCCTGTTTCCTGAGCAGGTGACTCTGCAGTTAAGTGCCAGACCCGTTCCCTGCTCTGAAGAGTTGGCCATTGAACAGTGGGCATTTCAGTGCTCTGAAATTCACCATGGCAAGATATTGGGCACGTTGCAAAGATGGAAGGGAGGATCAGAGGGCATCAGGAGAGTGTGAATAGTCCCAGCCCAGAGGACCTACCCCAAGCCATGAGAACAGCCCAAATGTGAGAGCCAGCTTGGAGAAGTGATGAGGGTCACTCCAGGAAAAGGAGTGGCAGGAGAGCAGAACTTGCACCAAAATGCCCTCCTGCTCCCACAGACTGTCCCATGCTGTCCTGTGAATGTTCAGCAGAAGTGCCACCATGGTCCTGCAGAGACCCAGAGAAGCTCAGCCTGGCTTAGCTCTGGTCTGCATGTGGTGGGCAGCTGGAAATCCAGCACAGAAACAAACCAACAGCTTCTTTACTTCCCTTGGCATCCCAGTGAGGCACTGGCACAGAAGGGGATCCAGCTGCAGGGGCAGAGCTGGGCATTTCACGGCCAGAACTGCTTGCAAACGTTTTATTTCCCCACTGTTTGGTGTTGCCATTGTTGGTTTCCAGATTACTTCAGCTGCAATGCATTAATAACTTTAAAAAACCAAGCCCAAAGTAGCTATTTTATTTCAGATACTGTGGGAGAAGGTGTGCTGCTCTCTTTTCCCCTCTCCTCTCTCAGCTCTTTCATTCTTCTTCCTCTTGGAATTGTTCCCTTTACTCATGACTTTGGGTATTTTGTTTTTGAATTGAGAGAGCAGCCAGGACCCCAGGCCTGGACAAGGGGCACATGCTCAGGCTGACAATGGCATCGTAAAGGTCTCAGCACTGGCGTAATTGCTCCATGAAGTGCTGGTGGGTTTTTTTAATGAGGCATTTCTTGTATTCAGAGTCTGATTAAGTTGAACTGAGCCCCATCTCAGTGCTAAAAAGCAAAGAATTGCTGTAAGGCTGGCAGAAGGAGTTTTGTATTAAAGATGGGAAAGGGGGAAATTGGATCAGCTCCCAGATGATCCAAAACAATGCTCTTGAGGTGGACGATCAAGAGACCTCAGGCCCTGCATGAAATCCCACATGGATTTTGGAGGAAGTTGGTGTAGTGGGTGAATCTGCGCACAGCCGTGCGTGTGACTGTGGGTACGTCTTGCAGTGACTGTCACGTTCCCTTGACAACACTTTTTAATCTGTTCAGTCTATGACATTTTTTCTTGACGAGCGATACTGGGAGGAGGTGGGAGGCAGGTTCTGCCCAGGCAGGCTGGTGGGAGCTTGCTGACTTCAGCACGCTCTGAGCTGCTCTGCTCAGCCACGGTTTGCATTGCTCAGGACTTCTCTGCCTTTACAAGTTAGTTCGGTTCAGGGTGGAGAAAGAAACCTCCCAGCAAGTGCCGAATTTGGCCTCATTTCAGCCCCAAAACAGAACTGCCTGTGGGACAGCCTTGTGCCACATGGGAGGCTCAGAGCAGCTGGCAGCATCCCCATGCCACCACCCCACCGAGCATGTGTGGTGGCCCTCCCTGAGGGAGCTGGCAGCGCAGAGCCACTGGAGCAGCAGGAAGATAAACACCAGTTCACCTTGACCAGGGCACTGGGACTGGTGAGAACTGATGGAATTCCCAGAAGAGCCACCACACCACCACCTCTTCTTCCCCCTGAGTCATGCCCAGCTATTGGGAGTACACTGCTGGGCCTGCAGACCCTGCACTGGACGTGGAGAGAAATGGAATGTCAGGGATCAGCAGCAGATTGCAGCTGCTCCTTTACCTTTTCATCAAGCACTAGGGATTTCCAGGATTCCAGAGGGACAGGTGCTTCCCAGCTCTGGTCTGTAGTCAGTGGTGGATGGATACACCCAAACTTGCTGCAGCACAGGACAAGCTCCATCACTGAACTCTCCAGTTCCTCACCATGGTCCCAGCAGTCAGTGTGGATGATGGAATGTGGATGAAAGAAGCTGATGAAGAAAGCCACCCCTCTCCATCCCTTTTCCAGGCAGCAGAACCTTTTCCCAGGGGAAGGCACAGCTCCTCATCAAGCTGATGGTATACAGGGGTTCTCAGCCTGGCAGCAGAAATAGCCCCACTGCAGCCCCTGCTCTGTGGCCACATGGCAGCTGGTCCCAGCTGGGGAGAGGGATGCTGGGTTTGGATCCCATTGGTGGCCTGTGGTGGGATGAATTCGCCTTTCCCCGGGAGGATGGATTCCTTCACACCAAAGCAATGGCATCAGAATAAACGATTGCTGCTCGATCCCAGGCCCTGCGCTGCCTTCGCTCTGCGCTAACCAAATCCAGCATTTCTAAATATACACTGGAGTCTTATTTTCTCGCTCCGATCTTTATTTGCCTCCAGATAAGCTGAAACAGATGGGGTGTTTCACAACAGCCGCTTGCTGGGGATGTCAGATGGGGAAGGGCACACCCCTGCTGCTTTTCTGGGAAAAATCCCCTCTCCAGAAGCTCCATGAAGATGATGCCGACCCTCCTCTGGCCTTTGCTGGGGCTGTCGCCTGCCCATGAGCAGCCTTGAGGCTACAGGTTCCCATCTCATGGCAGTGAGCTCTGGGATGTAGTGGTGGATGAGAAACAACCGCCTTGAGCAGAGGGAAGAGGCATCTAAGAGGCAGAAGGGGAGAAAATGCTGTGGAAATTTCACTGTTTCAGAGTGTGACACTCTTGGTAGAGCTTGAGGTGGGGTTCCTTGCTTCAAGGTGCTGGCGGTTGTGATGGGCTCCTGCAGCCCAGGCAGGAGCTATGTCACGCAGGGAGGGATGCAGAGCTCCACTGTGGGATACATGGACAATCCATTTGCCTTCCTGTGGCTCAGGGTCTCAGTGTCAGTAGGGGCAGCCATGGAGTCTGCACATCCCTGTGGAGTCTGCTACCGTGGGGTGCCAGGGATCTGGAGCAAGGGGCAGCTGTAGGTCAGTCATAAAGCTAAAGGGGAGCAGTCATCTCCAGGTTTGAGGTTTTATACTGGAACTAGGATAAATTCCGGAGCAGAAGAGGTTGGCTTGGGTTTGTCCCCCAAAACAATGGCCCTGCGATGCAGGCAGGAGCCAGGCTGAGCCCTGCAGACTCATGGCACCGTGGGCCAAACCAGATCCCAGCTCCAGCTGCGGGGCTGAGTCCGTCCTCCCTCCCCTTGCTCCTCAGAGTTGGCACGGTATGGCCCTCCTGTAGGACCTGGCTGCTGGCCAGCACCCCTGGGTGCATCTTGCCTTCAGGGCATCATCCACAACTTCCACAGGATGAAGGGAGGACTGTGCCTTGTGCTGGGGACCTGGGTGAGGCTTCAGGGGCGCTCTTCGGCTGAGACATCCTGCATGGTTCTCATTTGCTGTAATATATTTTGGGGAAGGGGAGAGCTGTCTAGGGAGCAGAGAGGATTGAAATATGAAAGTTAATTAAATAAAACCGTCAGTCAAAGGAAACAAACCTTCCCAGCCCAGCATCCCTCAACTGTTCAGAAGAGATGGGCTGTAGCCAAAACCAGTTGTAGTTGTTTAATGATTTGGCCATGAAAATTTTCACTTACAGGCTGTTTGAGGAAAATAAATGGAAAAGAAAAAAAAAATATAAAATATTCCATGCCTGAGGCTCCCTCTTAATAGAGACATAAAGATGACTTTGACATTCCCAGAACCGCAGCGCCCTGGGAAGACATGGGATTTGCATGTTATTGTGCAGGACCGTTGGAGGAGAGCAGGGAGGGATTTTTCTCTGGAGTGGGAAAGCAGAGCAAGAGAGTCCACATCTCTGAACATCCCCCCTCGCCTCCTCCCCGGGGACCCACGGAGGGAGAGGTTGTTGCTGGGGCTGTATGCGGTTACCATTAATGTTTGCTCATTCATGGGATTGATTGGGTTTTAATTATGGAGGCTGTTTGGCATGCTGGCTCTCAGTATCAATGGCAAAAAGGGACTCCTGTGTTCTCCCCTGGAGGTGACATTGCCTTCCCCGGGCTGGGGACCAAGCTCTTGGTAGATGCACCATCCCAGAGCTTCAAAGAGCTCTGCTGGCATCTCCCCCAGCCACGAAGCACGACAGAATTGTAGCCCGCTGGGGCTCGGGGGAGTTTTCCACATCCACATCCGTCCTTACCAGTGTTAGCGGCGCCGTTTCACAAGGCCCTGTGCCCCTGGCCCTCATGTGGAGCCCAGTGCTTCCTGACCCAGCCATGCCCTGCCATGTGCCAAGGGCAAGGCTGCAGGGCCACATGGATCACTTCAATTTGAGTGGAAAGGAGGGGCTGGAATCTGAGCCTTCAACATCCCGAGCTTCCCTTTGCAGGGAGGTTTGAGAACAGCTGGGGGGAGCTGGACAAAGGCAGATTCGCAGCTTTATCAGCATGTTCAGGAAAAGTCACAGCTGGAAAAGAAATCCAGCCAGCTTCCTGCTGCTTCCAAACCACCAGCTCCAGGACCTCGGGGAATGCTTGGCCTGGGTTTGCACCTCTGTAAGCACCTTTTGGCCGTTCATGCTCTCTATCCACTATGGATGCAGGGGTGCAGTTGCATCCCATGCTCAGAGCATGGAGAGTGGCACATGCTTAGGTACCCACACCTGCACCGTGCCATCTGTGGGCACACCCAGCACTGCTCCCACTCGGAAGGTTTGGGGCTCAGAACAGAAACAACATCCACTGGCTCTAGCAGAGCTCAGCAGGCTGGGCTGGGAGTTGTGCTGGTGTGGTTGGGCAGCCTGGTGTCCTCTGCAGACCTTGGCACAGTGGCTCAGGGTCAGGCTGGGACCAGCCCTGCAGGTAGGGCCAGGCACAGTGGCTGGGAGGCCGGAGATGCCTGGAGCTGCCACAGCTGCCTTGGCTTGTGCTGAACACACAGAACTGGAGCTGGTGAGGCCGGCCCGCTATGCTAACCCTCAAAGTCGCTAATAAAGCGCTAATTAAAAGCACTTGGAAGGAGCTGCCCTGCCAGAAGGAGAGGCAGAGACACAAGAGCCTTTCATTGTTTAACGGGTTGTGCCCATTCATCCATGGAAGGCAGCCATGGAGGCTCCTGGCCCCTCTTGCCCAGTGTGAAGGGTTGTTTATTCCCGTGGTTATAAAACACGGCAGAGGGCTGTGCCAACACCATGCACCGAAAAGGCCGGGTTCAGTCTTGGCCCTGTGGGCATGGACCCGGGAGCAGGAGCCTCTCCTCTCCTGTTTGCCAGGGACTCCTCGCTGGTGGCAGGGCAGTGGCCAGAGCCACCTCCCTGCTCTGCAGTGCCCGGGGGGAGAATGGCATCTCTAGGGGAAGCCTCCCAAGTAGTTTTCAGCTCCTATTCACTTGGGAGCAGGGCAAGACCCATGTGAAGAGGCAGAACCGGGCTGGGGTGTGCAGCTCTGCTAATCAACTGCTATTGTTCACAGCTCAATTACACCCGACCCGGACTTCCAAAGCTCAATCCCAGGCTGCTGGAAAACTGGAAGAACGAAGTGAAGGAGAAGGGCCGCATCAACTGTCCTAACAACGTAAGGATTGTCTATTCTTCCATGGGCTGGCTGGTCTCCATCTGCAGGAGGACTGGAGACTTTCTGGCGCAGAAATCCACCAAAAATTGTTCTTATTGGACCCCTGATTACATGCTCAGGCACTCGTTTCACCTCCTTCCCCTGAGCTTGCTGCTGTGACTGGTTAAAGCATGTCACACCTTTGTGATCTTCCTTGTGTGCTCAAGCCCCCAGCCTTGGGAACAGGGCCACCCTTACACCCTGATGGTGCAGCATTGCCCAATCTGAGCTCTGGAGCTGCCTTTGGGAAGCTCCCAAGATCCTGACGAGTGAAGGCTGCACATCCTGCACGGCCTTTTGATGCAAAGAACCTGTTTCTCCCAGGGTTAAGCGAAGATAAATTTAAGCTAAGCTTTTTAAAGCCGTGTGACAAGCACAAACCCCAGGGCATGGTGCGTGTGCCTCATCTTGCTGTGAGACACAGCCTTGGCCCGAGCTGACAGAGAGGTGAACCCCACCCTAGTGCTGAGCCCGGATTTATCGTCCCAAACAAAGCCTTGCTAATGGGAGTTCTGAAGGAGGCAGTTCCCACAAGGCCAGGGGAGCCAGGCTGGCTAATTAATGTCATACACAGGCACTTGGAAAAGACGTTGCTCAGAAACTGGTCATGCTGCTGCCTGGGTGATTTCTCCATTAAGCCTCTGCTGTGGCTCCAAGAACTCCTGTAGCCCAGCAGGACCTCCCAACAGCTCACAAATGTAGGTTTTCCACGGAGACGTTTAGGGGAGACGTTTTTCAGCCCGTTGCAGAGGGATGTGGCCACATGACTGCCATTAGCATTAATGGGAAACGTGTGACCAGAGCCCTCGGCGCCTCGTAGAGCATTAACCTCACACTGCTCAGCCTGGACCGGTGGCCATGCTGGCTCAGCAGACTCCTGGCCATGGCTCAGAGAAAGGCAGGGGATGAGGGGGATCATGTCTAACCCTGCTTTGTTTTTTCCTCCAGTGCTGTGAAGCCATTTACTCCAGTGTTTCGGGGCTGAAAGCTCACCTGGCCAACTGCAACAAGGTAGATCCTCCCTTTTACACCCTTTTCTCAGAGGTGGATTTGGTGTTGGGTGTTGTCTTCCCCTGCCACTGGTCTGGAAGGAATAAGCCAAGGGACAATGACACAGGTTAAAGGATGGTGGCTGCTGGAGGTCTGGCTGGCAGTGCAGCTCCAAGTGGGTTGTCACCCGGCAGATGGAGGCAGAGAGGCTGAAGCTGAGCAGATGGGATGGAGGGATGTAGCTGCTATTCCACTTATAGAGAAAAGGTCCCACAACATGGACTTGTCAGCCAAGCACAGACCTCTGACACACAAAGTGTTACAGGGACACAGCAGTGAGTCTTAGTCCTCCTGCCTCATGTCGTCCTGTCCCACAGCAGCCTGTGCCCTGCTGGTCCCTGCACATCCCAGATCATTCACAAGCCCTTGGCTAAGCACGGCCCGTGTGTCACACAACCACACATCAGCCACAGCAGCTCAGAGCCAAGGAGCTGGGTGCTGGAAACTGAATGTTTCCTGAGGCAGGTGGGAATCAGGAATCTTCTTCCATCAATTTGGGCAGCCCCACAGCCCCTTTGGAAGCCCAGCTGGAGGGATGCTGGTGTGGTGCCTCCTGGGATAAGCTGAGTCTGGAAGAAGCAGCTGCTCCGTGCAGACACCAGTGCCCTCCCACAGGATGGATGGAGCAGCCCTGAGCTCCACTGCCCTGCAGCTGCCCCAGGGGAGGGATCAGGAGCTCTGTGTAGGTCCCTCAAATTGGAACCAAGCAAGAGCTGCTAAAGCTTTATACCCTGAAACATTTCCAGCTGCAGCTTCCATTGAATAGAGCTTCCAGGAGGCAGCTCCAATACATACCCCGTGGTTATTAAAAACACCAACTCCCGCACTCCTCCAGCGCTAGCTGGAACAGCAGCCCTTAATGAGATCATTTAGAAAATGGGCTGCAGAGATCCGGCAGGAGAAGCTGGATTTATGCAGGATAAAAGAGCAAACACAGAAGACTAGGACTGCTCTTTCTCTGAGAGAAAATGGAGATGGTTTCTGGTTGGTTCTGTGCACGGGAAGCAGCCAGGATCTGCATGAACATTTTTATGAACCACAGAGCTGCATCCTCTAGATCTGGCTCAGCTGGGGCCAGGTATTGGGAATCATCAATGGGAAGCTGCTCTGCAATCCCCACACTGCCATCAGCAGTTTTCTTCCCCTTAGGGGAGAGAATTTACTTTGAATACATGTGCCAGCAAATTTGGCATAAATAAATCGCAGCCCCTCCAGAACTGGTTTGTGATTCCCACTGTAAAATCCTGCAGAACTGGTTGCAATACATAGAGCCTTAGCAAGAGCAGAGGCTGCTCCCAGGCAGCACCCCATCCTCAGTGGGCATTGATGCACCAGGATGATTTTTCACAAGGATTCCTGAAGCCAGGCCTGTTCTCTCCCGAAATGAGAGACCTGTTTATCTCAAGATTTACAGCTATGGAGAAATTCCCAGGGAGGAAATAGATGGCCCAGAGGGGCCCATCCATAACTCCCTCATCAATAGAGAGCACATTATCTCCCACGTGCCGTGACCTACAGCAGAGCCGGGAGATCTGTCATCCCACCAGGGCGCTGGTGACAGGAATCAGCAGTCACCCTGGCTCTTTGACAATGTAACAGGAAAATTAGGTGAGTGTTAGACATAAATCTGATGGTGGTTCAGTCCCAGGGGATCACAGATCTGCTGACAGTGAGGACACAGGGCGATGGCCCGATCACCAGATGTTGGGGACACACAGGCTGCAGCACGAGTGGCATGGACTGAAACTCAGAAAGAGGATGTGGCTGTGAGCTCCTGGCCCAGCACCGAGGCTGGCAGAGATCTGGAGGTTCAGACATGAGTGTTTATTTTGTGTCACTCTGAGGTCACAGGAGGGTCACAGCCAGGGGAGGGTCACCCCTTGGGGCGCTTTGGACTCTGCAGAAGCTGCTGTGTCTTGCAGGGGGACCACTCAGTGGGCAAGTACCGCTGCCTCCTGTGCCAGAAGGAGTTCAGCTCTGAGAGTGGCGTCAAGTACCACATCATCAAGGCTCACTCGGAGGTAAGGAAGCAGCTGGAGCTGGGCTGGGCTGGTCCCTGCTTCAGCACATGCGTCCTTGGGCTGTCCCTTTCCATCCATCCATCCATCCATCCATCCATCCATCCATCCATCCATCCATGTCTGTTAAGAGCAGAGCTGAGTAACAGCTCCCAGTCAGCCTGGGGGGTTCTTCCCTATCCTCCTTGGTGTCCCTGACACCTCCAGGCTCATTGCAGCAGCTCAACACTGAGTAATTTGACCTCAGGGAGGTGATGCCAGTGGGTGAGGGGTGGGCCAGGCTCGGGTTGTGTGTGCCTGTGCCTGTCCCCAGGACTGTCACTAACCCCCGTGTCACCCCACGAACACAGAACTGGTTCCGAACCTCCTCAGAGGCCAGCCGGAAAAAGAAAAACAGGGAACAGCTTTCTTCCAGCAAAGAGGAAAAAAAGAAAAGCACAAACGGGAAGAAGAGGGGGAGAAAACCCAAGGAGAGGCCTCCGGAAATGTCCCCGAAGGGCAAAGAGAGCGTGGCAGCAAAGACTAATCACAAGAAAACCCTCGAGCACTGGGAAGGCTCCCGGAGCAGCCCCGAGGGGGACGAGCTCGTCCTCAAGCCCCCGAGCCAGCGGAAGGGAGGAGCCAGCAAGATGCCCGAGAAATGAGCAGCTCAGAGACTCGTCTCCGAGGATTCGTTTACAGCCCAGGGTAACAGGGTGGGGGTCTCTCCCAGTTTTATGTCCCCTCCTCCCCATCCCACCTCCCTTTGCCCCACCCTCCTCTCACCCTCTTTTTACAAAAACAAAGGAAAAAAAAAAGACAGAAAATACCAATTAACCACTTTAAACAAATCACGGACCTTGTTTCACACTGGAAAACAAACAGGATCAAGGAAGCTGGAACGTTCTCCACCCCCTGCCCATGTACATACCCCTCGGTGGGGCCCCGCTGCCTCCCCCGGCCCGTGATTCCCGTCCCCTGCGCCAACCTGGTGACGCTTGAGCGAAAGAGAAGTGCAATAGCAGCGGGGTCCCGTGGGCAGGGACCCTCCAAGGGACGGGGAGCTGCCCACCTGCCCGGCCTCCTCCCAGCTCCAGGGTGATGTTTCCAAAGATGTTTGACCCCGAGGGGTCCGGAGGGATGCTGCGGTGAGGGAGGGTTGGTTGGCAGCGCTTTCTTTCCCCTGCAGCCGCGAGTTGAAGGGGGAATGTGTTGGAGCAGGGAGCGGCTCTGTGCGGTGTCAGCTCGGCAGGGTTTGTCTGCGTGGTGCGAGGCACAGAGCAGGGAGCAGGGACTGTGACACACGCTGGGAGCGTGGGAGGTGTGAGCAGGAGAGGGGGAAGCTCCGGGACTGGTCAGGCTAGAGGGTTTAATGGGAAGTTGTGGGAATGCTGTGGGCACCGTGGAGAGGGGCAGTGCAGCCATGGAGGGGGTGCAGTGAGGGAGCTGCGCCCCGGTGCTGGGGTTGTGTTTGCCGAGTCTGGAATGCTGTGATGGCAGAGACATGATGCCACTGCCAGGGTCAGGGGGAGATGGCAACCAAGGAGCTGTCCCCCGACCTGGGGACATCAGGGATGATTCAGGGTCCCAGTGTGCTCCATCCCGAAGGTGCCAGTCACCCGGGAGGGAGGAATGGAGTCTTGATTCCCCAGCTGTGGCCACAGGAGGTGTGTAACAGGGACGGGGCAGCATCGAGAGACAATCACGGGTCCTGCTGTCGGATGAGCCCAGTTGCTGCCCAGGCACCTCACATTCCTCTTGTCCTTTCGGGCTGGGACCCCACCATAGGAGGAGTCTCTGCTTCCAAGGATGCATCTGAGCCCCTGACCACCCTCCTCGGGGTGGCAGGATCCTGTGGTGCCATCCCTGCTTGTGCTCTTCCCCGGCGCTCTTTGCTCCTGTGCTGACAGTGTCACACCTCGCTCCAGCCCAGGGGGAGCCATCCCTGGACCGGGATATGCCCGTCTCCAGACAAAACCAGGCTACCTCGGTCCTTGGGAAAGGGGCATGTTTCCTCTCAGTAACACAACAGAAAACCTTAATTTGATTTTTCCCCTATGCAGAGCCAGGAGGGAGGCATCAGAGGGGGAGCTTCTGCTTTTACTTTAATCAATTCAAACCTCAGTCCTCGCTTTCCTTCACTGCTCCTTGTCGCCCGCCAGAGGCTCGGTGTCATTCCCTGCTCCGAGCAGCGGCTCAGTCATAATTAACATCCTCCACCAGCAGGTTATTCCAGCCAGGGAGGGGGGACAGTGGTGGCTGAAGCCAGGGTGGCTTCTCAGGGAGCCAGGGCTCCTGCTCTGTCCACGGCACCTGGATCACCATCTGCATTGCCCAGCAAGCTGGGCACGTGCCTGCGGCTGAGGGAACTGCCTGAGCATTGCTGGCTGTGCCAGGCCTCGAGGCAATTAGTGAGAAAGCTTAATTAGTCACTGCAGCTCAGCCTGGTCGCTGCTTGCACTTCATCAGATCTGTGTTTGGATGGTGTCACTGGGGTAGATCCTACTTCCCTGGGGAAGGGGGACAGCTTTGGGAACTGTAGCACAGTTTAGGAAAGCTCACAGGCAGCAGCAGGAAGGGGAGCACAGGCAGAGCTGTGGGCCTGGCACTGAAAATCTCTGTGGTGGTGCAGAGGGAGCCTCTGGATCCCAAAATCATGTCTTGCCATGACAGGAAGTCCCCAGGAAAGCTCCATGCCCTGGCCTAGAGAGGGGAACTAGATCTGGGAGGCCCAGGCTGCTGGCTTGGATGGTCACCACACAATCTTCACTGTCTCCCCTTGGGCATGGCCTGGGACTCTGTTCTCATTAACATGCAATTATTGGCTTCTCATTGATTAAATTAACAGGCAGCACTGTGCTCCACAGGGAGGGAGCCCCGGGAGCTGCTCAGGATGGGGTAGACAAAGGGCTAGCTCAGAGGTCATCATGGGGTCCGGATCAAAACCCACCTCTGCTTCCATAACGAGTGTCTGGCAGGAGCAGGGACAGCTGCAGTGGCCTCACAGAGTGACACCAGCCTGGAGGGGACTCCAGGGACCATCTGGGGTCTCGAGACAGGCAATGGGAGCAGCAGTCCTGGTGCTGGGGCTGTTCCTGTCACCCTCAGAGCACTCACAGCCCCAGTGAGGGCAGCACCGTGGTCAGGTGGGAATTTCTATGAGAAGGTGAAATCTTCAGGGTTTTTTTCCCCCCCACCCAAAAAAGGTGTTTTCCCCACTAGTCATCACTTGGAGAGGAACATGTTCTCCCCCACCTTCTCCATGAGACATCCTTTACTCTCCTGCTTGTGCAGGGAAGGTTCCAGGGCAATTCTGGGGAATCACCAGCACCTGCCACAATAAGTGAGCAGGCAGGGCTGAGTGGCACCATGTTGGCATTGCTGGGGGCCAGTAGGATGTGCCCCTTCAGGTGCTCCCAGTGAGGCAGTGCCAGAGGGGCAACCACCTTGATGTAGAGGGACAGGCAGAGGCTGCGGGACCAGATAGGGGACAAGGTGTCCTGTCCCCTTCCATCCCATCACCCGTGGCAATTGGGGATTTTGTCACCCTGGGCACAGTGACACTGTGGTCCCGCACCTCCACTGTTGGGGAAACCTACCATCCCATCACCCATGTCCCCAAGGAAAGGGCTAAACCTCCATGGGAACAGGCATGGACTGCAAGCCTGTGGGAAGACCTCATGGAAAGCTTGGATCATGGGGAACTGGGGAACCCTCAGCACCAACACCACGCCCTGGCGAGGTTGGCTGTGTCACACCAGCTCCAGCCACGCTGGATGGAGCTGCCCGGGCCTGGAGCATCTCTCACCCCCAGGAACCCTGGGAGCATTTTGTTCTTTTCTTTCTCTCCTTGTGACACCCATCCCATGGCATATCCGAATGTTTCTCGTCGATGCCAGTTATTAGTGGATAAGTGTATTTTGGGGAAAAAATTAAAACAGAAAAAAACAAAAAAAAAGGAAAAAAAAATTTTCAATTTATCACTTGTAACCATATATATAAATATATAAATATATATATTAAAAAGTGTTTATTTGCAAAAAATAAAATTGTTTTAACGGTAAACTATCTTATAATAAACTCCCGATTTGTGATGATCTGTTCTTTTGTTAATCATTGACAAATCCTCAGTTGGAGAGTACTGTCCGAGCAGCTCCGAGCAGCGCCGAGGCGCTCCCTGTACTGTATGTATGAAACAGCTGTATCGAATAAATGGTTATTGATTTTTTATTAGCACTGTCTCATCAGCGTTATTGGGCAGTTCAGTGGGAGGTTGGACATGGGATCCGGTGGGTTTGGATTTATCCTTCCATCATGGCAATGGCTGAGAGGATTCCCTGAGTGGTCACCAACCCAGGGGTGCCCCCGAAGCCAGGATGGGGAAGGTGAGGACTGGTGATGCTTCCTGCACCAGCACTCGGCACACCAGCACTCCTGGTGCCAGGAGGATCCTCAGTGCCCAAAGCCCAGCCACCCCCCACTCCCATGGCAGAAATCCCCCTAAAGCTGCTCCCAACCCACCCATCTCATCAGCAGCATCCAGCGTCTCCTGGCCCCAAGGGCCACATCCAGCCCAGGACCTCTCCTCCCTGGGGAGCCCTGCGGGACTCGGGGCCACCCCCTGGCTTTCCCAGCGTGGGAATAAATCCTCTTCTGCTCCCTAATGGCTTTTTTGGCACCGAACCCAAGTCAGGGACAGATTGAGGCTGACCCCGCTGGCTGAGAACGCAGCCTCCCAAAGACGGGTGGGGACCCCGGGAGCGATGCTTGCCTTGTCCCCCACACCCCCAAACCTGAGGTACCACAAACCCCAGCCCCGGGGCAGCACGGCAGTGATGGGAGCGCGGTGCCGAACAAACCCAGATCCCACACAGCGCCCTGGGTCCCCCACGGGACCGGGGTCGTCTCTGCTCTCCCCAGTGCCCAGAGACGTTGTCAGAGCCCGGGGTCACCCAAATCCCCCCTCCCAGCTGCGGGGTGCTGGGGGTGCTGTGTTGCACCCCTTAGCATCTTGGGCAGGGATGCTACTGTGCACCCACCCCATAGCGCCCACAGGTATCCACAGCATCACTCGGAGCCCCGCAGCACCCACCCACGCCCAAAACACCCCCCTATACCTCCCAACACCCACCCGCACCCACCAACCCTACATCACCCAGCCGTGCCCACACACATCCATCTCCCGCACAGCTCTTACCCATGACCACAGCACCCCTCTGTGCCCCATCTGTCCCCCCCAAACCTGTGCCCAAATCCCCTCAAAGCCCGGATCCCACGCTCTGTCCCGCTCCGTCCCGCTCCCCCCAATCCCGCACTACAAGTCCCAGGGATCCCCGCGGCAGCGCCGCCCCCGCCTCTCCCGCCTCTCCCGCAGCACCATGGCCGCGGCCCCGGTGCCCGAGGGGGCTCCGGTAGAACCGCACGACAGGTAAGACCCCGCTTTCTTTTCCCCGGGACGATCCCTCCGGGACGGGACCGACACGGCGCTGCCCCGGAGCCGCCGGTTCCCGTTCCCCGCCGGCTCCCGGGGGTTGCGGTGCCCGTCCCGTCCCCCACGATGCCACTTCCGCGAGTGGGGCCTCCCCGAGCCCATCGCTCCATGAAATCCCTTCGCTTTTCCCACCAACCGTTTCTTCTCACCCCCGGTTTATCCCTTGTTTATTTTCATCCTTCTTTTTTTTTTTTTTTTTTTTGCCTTTCGTGTTGCTACCTTTTCCCTTATTTACCTTATTTTATGGTTTTTGCCCTTAACTTACAAGCAGATAAACCACAACCTCCCATTTTCCAAGCTTGCTTGCACATACATCCACTCCATCAAGATGAAGAGTGGGACAACCTAAACTTTTCCACCCAAAAACCCCATACAGGGTGATTGCCTCCAGCCCCCCACCCCCCAACACACACGCATGTTTCCCCTCTATTTTTCACCCCCTTTTCCCGCACAATCCTCGTGAGACTGACTGCTCCCAATCGAATATCTGGGAATTAAATTTGGAG